GGGAAGGCTATACAGGATCTTTTAAACTATTCTTGTAACTTTTCTGCCCATTTAAAATTATTCCAAAATAAGAAGTTAAAAAAATAAGACACATGCAAGTGGTCTTTTAGCTATTAGGAATTTATTACACTGGTTTTTATACTACTAGAAAAATCTCTGCTTAATGGCTTCATTATCTCAGGTAAAACTATCTAAAAGAATAGTTGAAATAGATGTGAAAGAAGCTTTTCTTAATGGGCAATAATATAGCTATAAAATTCTGCTTAATAGTTAAAAATGCACAATGTTCTAAATCGTCCTCATTAAGCATACTTCTTTCTTCCTGCAATAGTTTGTTGCCTTGAAAAAATCACATACATGAGATATGGAAAAACCTTGAGACTTTGAATCCTGTACATTTAGGGTAATTTTTTTTCTTGTAACTGATAAAGGATTTACACAATCTCATTAGAGACTTACATCCTTTGATATATAAACATGAAATTTAATCTGAACTATGACCTCTGGGTGATGTTGAAAATGAAGGTATCTTTATGATTTCTGTTATATTCCATTACTTTTATTTTAATTATAGTTTGATATTAAACAGATAATTTTTTAATATAAAAAATCTCCTATGGTAGCAAATGTCTGTCCATAGAAGAAGGATTTTTTAATCTTTTTTTCTTGTCATTTAGAGTCAGGTGGTAATGTCATTTTGGGCCAAGACCACAATGTGTTTCTAAAATAATTTACATTTCTCATAAGCTTGGTAAATGAATCCGAAGAGAAATGAGAGCTCCAAAAATATTTAAAACAAGGACAACAGCAGCACCTTTGGAATAAAAACAGTTTCCTACAGAGATTTGTTTAAGGATTTCACTAGTTTTGAATGTAAAATTAGTAGTGTCTTTTTAAAAAAATATAACAATTGTGTCAATGGAAAAAAAGGAGATACATACAATAAATTGGATATTGAACATTAAAATCAACAAAACCTCAGAAAATGAGATAGTAAGTCCTATGAATCCTTTGTATATTCTCCACTTGAGATTCTCCCTCGGTATCAAAAATTTGAGTAGGATCCATGGAATCCATTAACAATTTCACAAAAGAAGCACATACACTTTTGGTTCTCTTCAACTACGGTGAAGAGGGTTTTAAAACTCTCCAAACTTCTATTTTGCTCCTTGAAATCACATTTTGACTTCAAGAACTAAAATGAAATGGGCCTGAGTAATGAATGAAAAGCACCAAAATATAGAATTGTGTGTGCACATAGGGGATGGGGGGGCGGGGAGATGAAAAGGAGAGAGAGGCAGAGATACTCTCACTTCCAGCAAAGTCCTGGGTTTTTAATTATTTTGGTACTTTCTCACAAATACAACTGAGGTGGTTAAAGTGAGAGAAAAGCAAAAGAAGGAAAAAACTCTTTCCCTGACCTGTGCCCAGGTAGGCAGATCTGAATGTTCCTCTAGTTGCCGTTGCATCTTTACTTACACATTCATTCTACAGTTATCGAACAGCTGAATAAAAAATGGGGTTGGGGATGGCAGGGAACAACCACCACCAAAACAAACAAACAATTAACCTGTCAATCACTGAATTACTAACCACTATTTACATCCTTTGACTTAGGTGGTAACCAGTTCCATCCATATCTAAAGGACAATAACCTTGTGATAATACTCTACAACTTACAACAGAAGAAAAGCACAGCAAGTGACATTTACCCTTTCTTCCCCCACCTTTACTGGTCATCACATAGAATGAAAATCAATCTCTCTCAGCACGCTATTGTCCTAAGCAACGATTGACTGGCAGGTGCTGTTCTTAGAGCAGATAAACTGAACATATTCCTAAGCAAGGTGAATGGAAACTAAGGAACTGAAGCAGCACAGCAGTGCAGAAAAAACGTTGAAATTTACAGCTTAAAATCTCAGAATGTTATGGCTGAGAGGGACTGTACAATTCATCTAGTTCAATGCACTGATCTCAGGATTGAATGAATGGACTCTGTAAGGCTGGGTTCCAATTCCAATTTTGTCTCTGACCAGCTATGTGGTCCTCAAGCAAATCCCTTCCCTTCCATAGGCCCATCCATTCAATACTAAAATAAGTGTGTTGAACCAGATCAATTCTACAGTCCCTCTCAGTCATAACATTCTAAGATTTTAAGCTGTAAATTTCAACTACTTTTCTTATTCCTAGGGCTTTTTTGCAGAAATTAATAAGCTGATTCTAAAATTCATATGAAAATGCAAGGGAACCAGAACAGCCAAAACAATCTTCCAAGAGAACAAAGTTGGAGGACTCACATTTGCCAACTTAAAACCTTAATACAAACCTACAGTAATCAAGACATCGTGGTACTGGCATAAGGATAGATATATAGATCAATGAAATAGAGTGGAGAGTCCAAGAACAAACTCATACATTTATGGGCAACTGATTTTCAACAAAGGTGGCAGGAAAATTTGATGAGGAAATAGTCTTTTCAACAAATGAGCTGGGACAACTGGATATCCACGTGCAAAAGAATGAAATTGGACCCCTACCTCACACCATATACAAAAATTAACTCAAAACAGATCAAAGAAAAATATAAGAGCTAAAACTATAAAACTCTTAGGAAATATATAGGTATAAATCTCTGCGACCTTGGATGAAGCAATGGTTTCTAAGATGTGACACCAATAGCACATGGAACCAAAGAAAAAAACAGATAAATTAGATTTCATCAAAATAAAAACTTTTGTGCTTCAAAGGACACTATCAAGAAAGTGAAAAAAAACACAGAATGGGAGAAAATATTTGCAAATAATATATCTGATAAGGGTTTAGTATTCAGACTATACAAAAAACTCTTATAATTTAACAATAAAAAGATAAATAACCCAATTAAAACATAGGCAAAGGATCTGAATAGACATTTCTCCAAAGAAGATATACAAATGGCCAGTAAGGATAGAAAAGATGCTCAATATCATTAGTCATTAGGGAAATGTAAATCAAAACTACAATGAGATACCTCTTCACACACACTAGGATGACAAAATTAAAAAAGATAGTAACAAATGTTGTCAAGGACATAGAGAAATTGGAATCCTCATCACTGCTGGTGGGAATGTAAAATGGTGCAGCCACTTTGGAAGACAGTCTGGCAGTGTCTCAAAAGGTTACACAGAGTTATCACGTGATCCAGCAATTCTACTCTTAGGTATATCCCCAAGAAAACTGCAAATATACATCCATACAAAAAACTTGTACACAAATGTTCATAGCAGCATTATCCGTAATAGCCAAAAAGTGGAAACAACCCCAATGTCCATCAACTGACGAATGGATAAACATAATGTGGTATATCCACACAACAGAATATTATTCAGCCATTAAAAGGATACTGATACATGCTACAACATCAAAGAACCTTGAAAATATAATGCTAAGTGAAGGAAGTCAGACACAAAAGGCCACACATTGTATCATTCCACTTTTATGAAACACCCAGAATAGGCAAATTCATAGAGACAGAAAATAGATTACCGGTTGCCTGAGGCTGGGGAGAAGGGAGAATGAGAAGTGACTGCTAATGGGTATAGTATTTCTTTTTGGGGTGATGAAAATGTTCTGGAATCAGATAGTGGTAATGGTTGCACAACTCTGTAAATATACTAAAAACCAATGAATTGTACACTTTAAAAGAGTGAATTTTATGGTATGTGAACTGTATCTTAAATTTTTAAAAAGGCAAATGGCCCTCCTTAGAAAATTCATTTCTAATTTCTAATTTCATTTCTAAAATTCCTCACCTGTTTCAGACCACCTACTGGTTCATGAAAATGTAGAAAAGTTTGCAATGATATTTGACATTTCTAATCCCACTGCCACAAATACTACAGTGAAATTTCTTTTTAGCCAAATTATTTATAGATATCAACTGATGGTTCACTTGTATTTATTTTGCTTCTAAACAATAAAGATCTGAAAGTTCCTCTGAGCTCATGATTTATCTCACAGTCCTTTTTTAAATTTATATTTTTCTTAAGTAAGTGAGACTAAACAAATGTCTTCCATTTTAGAAATTTTAGTAATACTGTCATCTAGAAACAGGTAAAAGTATTGCTCCTGCAATGACATTAGTTAGCACAGCCATCTTCAAGCAGTACTTTAAAATTTAATTCCTCTTCATAGGACAATAAAAAGGCTAAGCAGGAAATGGTTTTTCAATATTAGTAGTGCAATGTAATATGTCTAACTAGATGCTTTAAGCCATGAAACAAACGCAGACTTTCTTTCCCCTGGAATATAAATAGGATTCTAGGCTTATGCTGTTCAGTAATAAGAGTTTGAGTGAAATTTTTTCAAAGCTCTACAAAGAAAACATACTATTTATCTTCATCTTCTGTAACATTGTTTTGTATATCTGGTTTTCAGTATCAGGAGGCTGTAAACTTTGCATTAGCACTATAATCCACAATAAAAGCTTCATAAACATTTGAAATAGAATGAAATATTAATTCTAGTCTGGTAACACTGACTTGTACTATACATAGTTCCATAAGTTAAAAAAGAAGATCCTTCTAAAAATGCTAAGTGTAAAGAGGAGGGCTTAAATACTTAAGAAATAAACATCAAGGTCTGCCATGATTAAGCTACATCAAGAGATTACAATAGGACAACACGATTTCTCATTTTTAAGTTCAGCGAAAATTGCAAACACAAGTGGTTTACATTGTATCAGGGCTGCTAGCCCCAAGAAAGACATGAACACAGAAAGGGTGACCTGGGGCCGGCCCTGTGGCTTGGTGGTTAAGTGCGCGCGCTGCAATGCTGGTGGCCCGGGTTCGGATCCCGGGTGCGCATCGAGGCACCACTTCTCCATCCATCCTGAGGCCGAGTCCCACATACAGCAACTGGAAGGATCTGCAGCTATGACATGCAACTATCTACTGGGGCTTTGGAGGGAAAAAATAAAATAAATAAAATCTTTAAAAAAAAAAAAAAAAAAAGAAAGGGTGACCTTATCTAACTTCAGTATTATTTTTGTAATAATGTGTATAAAATCCAACCACCGCTTTGGCAATGTTAGGAGAGAGCAAGCCTAAGAGATGAAAATATTTACATCTTTTAATTAAATTATACTGTTACCTTATAAAAAAATGTGAGGTTCAACATTTGTTTCCTTAAAAACAGAGCACTAAACAGTTTCCAATACAGCAAGCTAGCTGATAGTTAAGATGTGTCTAAAACGTATGCAGAACACTTAAGACTATAATACATCAAGGAGTTCTTTTGAATTATGTATATCCAAATGACGGTGTTTTAATTCAAACTGAACAACAACAAAATCTTGATAAAACGAGAAACAAAAATTGATTTCTGAACCAAATGTGTACCATCTCATACTAGAGTGAATCACTGGGAAATACAGGCATGGAGTAGATACGCTCCACGTGAAGACAACTGCATATCAGAGTTCAAAAGAAGAGTTATAGCACATACTCTTTGTTTTTTGTTTTTTAAATAGGCCTCAAAAAACCGTTTTATCAGTTTTTTTTTAATAGCACATCTTTTCTAAATAATTCTCACTTTTCATTCAGAAAATGTAAGAAACAGTTTGCAAGAACTCATGCAAACATGTTTCTCTAAGGCCATGAACTGGTTTGCTAAGTTGCATTGTCTGTTTCAAGTAAAAAGCCCTTCTAGAATAAGGGGTCTGTAAAGGAAACCACTCACCTTCAACTCTCGGGCCTGCACACTTGTTAGGATCTCTATCACTCTGAAAGCCAAAAGATAGAATGCTCATTCGAGCATTAGCAAAATGGTCTCTGTTTACATTTTTAAAAAGGTAATGCATGTGAAGTTTTTCTGGCAATTCCTTTTGTGTGTTAGAAAACAAAAAAGCAAAAGCTTAGAATACGATAAGATTCCTTTTTTCTTAGAAAGGTCAAACAAATACTTCTTGACATCACGTCCTTTACACAATGGCATACTGTTCGTATAAAAGGTCTCTTATCCTATAAAAATCTTGACAAAGGCAGCCTTCTAATCCAATGCGTCCAGTTTCCGTCTAGAAACCAAGAAAAAAAATAAGTGCTTTTCAGTACATTTTCTATCCGTTGATATGCAGACATAATAATCAAAATATATTAACTAGATTACTTTATGATTGGTCCAGAAATGGGTTGCTCTGATTCACAGAATATGGATATAATAGTCAAGTCATGAATTTTACAGACATATAAATGTCAGAGGATTGAAATAATAAAAATTTACAATAAAATTTTATATCATTTCCTTGAGTCACTTTTGAAAGTCTTCAAGGTCATCATTATGAATATAAATTACTGATCTCCAGTTTGTGAAATTACCAATCAAGAATTGCAGAATTCAAAATGAGAAAACATCAGAAGCGTTTGTTCAATTCAGCCCTTATTAAAAACACACTTACTCTACGGACCGCTACTTGATTGTTGCAAACAAGTACACCCCCTACAAATTCAGCCTGAATCCCCTCCCGCAGAAGAACTTGTTTGAAGTCTGATAGTCGTGGTTCGTTCATAAAAACTGACTGATGTCCAGGAACCTTAGATAAGGTTAAAGGGGAAAGAATAACTTCAGATAAAACACCAGACACATAGTTGTACTGAATAAAGTGCAATAACACACGATCTCTAAGATATTTTCTATTATTCCCTGAAGTCCTGTGACAGATCATTTCAAGACTGTAAATCACATTCCAAGTTGCTATTCTGAATGTTACCTCATTATTTAACATTACAAAGCCCTTCACATTTTCTGAATGTTTCACAATCAGTGTATTAGTCATGCCTCATAATAAGAGAGAGACGTTTGGTAATGTTACGCTCTTCACTCTCCCACTTGCCTGAGGGGGTCAACTAGAGTGCCAGGAGGCAGAACTGAACCAAAAATTCATTTCCCAGATCTAGTCCTTTGCTTAGTTCAGAGGATAATTCTCTCCTGATCCCATTTTCACTTTCCCTCCCCCACTGAGAGCGAAGGCAATGGATGCCATGGGTTTTAGAATCAGAAAGGCAAATGGTTCAACCTAATGCTGCTACTCTGAAATTGGTTTGAAGACTGCTAGCTTTAACTCAGAAAGAAAAAGATCTAATTCCTCTCTCCATTTCAAGAGTAGTACTGGAGAATCCAATGACAGAGGCTGTCTCTCTATTCTTGATTGCATAGAAACGCTAAGGACACCACTTGACATACATGCAGGACTCTTAAAATACAGTTTTAATATTGCTATAAGTTAATTACCCGAAATCTTTGCTAATTAACTAGACAGCTCTTGAGAACATATAAATACTAGACTAGAATTATATCTATACTTAAAAGATTTCTAACTATATCAAAACCAAAAGTGATTTAAACTGAACTGGCTACAAAAATGGAGTGCAAGAGTATGACGTTTGTGGAAAACTAGAAATCGCCTGATTGGAAGCAGGCAGGTGATTCTTACACTCATCAAACTTAATATTTAAAAATCCATACTGAGAAAACAAATCATGAGACAATTATGCATCTTAAAAGATTTTCTAAAGGTTTCCTTTAAATTGTTATCATTCCCTAGCCCTATGGGATACATGCACACACACATGCTCGTGGATGCACACACACAAACATACCATAAGTAACCTTTCTAAAAACTGGAAAATCGGGGCCAGCACAGTGGCACAAGCGGTTAAGTGCACACGCTCTGCTGCAGCAGCCCGGGGTTTGCCGGTTCGGATCCCGGGCGTGCACTGACACACTGCTTGTCAAGCCATGCTGTGGCATCGTCCCATATAAAGTGGAGGAAGATGGGCACGGATGTTAGCCCAGGGCCAGTCTTCCTCAGCAAAAAAAGAGGAGGATTGGCAGACATTAGCTCAGGGCCGATCTTCCTCACAAAAATAAAATAAAAAAATAAATAAAAATAAAAACGCAAGAATCAGTCTACACGTGACACATATTTTAAATGGTTGAAAACATAATAGGGAAATTAAAGGACGACAATTAGGGAAGAGACAGAAGCAGCAGGTGCTTTTTTTACCTCATGAGGTGGTAAGGGTTCCAAAGTTGGAATGATCTCACTTTCTTCACCTGTTTCTTTCTCATCATCTCCAAACAGACTTTTCATGGCCTTCTGCTGTGCTATGACGCTGGAATCTGAAGGAGCGTCCACTTGCATTTCTGAGTCTTCTCCATCATCCTTTAGTTCTCCTTCTTCTAAAATAACTCCTGTGTCCACTTTGGAAACTCTCATGTCTAAGACACCATCTATCCAAGCTAATTCAGCATCTTTTGCCTTACAAAACTGAAGGGAACTAACAAGTGAGTCTTTCAATCTCACCTAGATATGATGCAAAGGAGAGGGAGAGAAATAAAACCCACAGAGTATAAATTAACAATTAAATATAACCTATTATTATCATTTTCAACTCTGATAATGTGTATTAAAATTTGAAAATCTTTCACTTGTCTGATCTTCACCGTGACCAGTAACGACCTAACGACCTGTAAGATCATTAGGGTCCCTGTCTACTTTCCAAACTAAAGGCTCTTAATCCTGACTGCACATTGGGATCAAAAAAAAAAGGGCCAGAGCTCCACCTTCAGTGATTCTAATATTACTGGTGAGACCAAGACCAGAATGTGAGTCCACTTGACTCCCCCAAAGCTCTCCAGATGACTCATATGCAGCCAAGGGTGAGAGCCTCGGAGAAGCCTCATCCTCCAGTACTTGATGCTCCTTCAGGAGTACTGAACTGCTTATGGATTCCTCAACATACCATGCAGTTTCACACCTCCATATTCTTGGAATGCTGCTTCCTCTTGTTCTGCCCAGAATGACTTTTCTGCCTGGTGAATTCCAATCCATTTTTTCAAACAAATATGGACATCACTTCTGCCTTAACTGACACCATCTCCCACCAGCAGAGGAGATTAATCACCCTCTTTCCTGTGCTATTCCTGTTTTCTGTACCTGTCCCCATTTTTTTTGATTAGGAATAGAACCTTGACATCTGTGAACTTCTGAAAACTTCTGAATTCTTAAACACTCACCATTCACCTCACCTCTGCACTTTTGCAAATGTTGTTCCCTCTGCCTGGAACACTCTTTCTCCCTCTTTCCCACTCTATATACCACCCTGACAACCCAATCTAAACATCCGTCAGGATCCAGCCTAGTTATCACTTCCTCTGGGAAATCTTTTCTAAACCTCCAAATTTGGGTTGGGTCTCCCTCTTTATATATACTCTCATAACATCCTGTCCTTTCTCTATCAGAGGTATAACAGTGTGATAAGTGCTATTTCATTCTTACAAGCCCCACAGACTATAAAGTCTGCTACAGCAGGGGACCACGTCTGTCTTACTCACCACTGTATTCCTAATGTATCTGCCCCAATTTGCAACAAAAAGTACTTACTTCTATGTGGCCAGCATACTTACCTGGTAGATGTGAGTTTCACTAGTGGCATCAACTGTTTCATGTAGCTTTGGCATGTACACTTTAATATCTTTCCCACCAAATGCACGGCAGCACTCTGCGAGATCTTGACTGGCCTCTGGTGGTCCATGGACAATGATCAACTGTCGTGGTTTCATCTGATTAATGATCTTTTTAATGGAATCCCCATCAGAGCGTCCTTCATAGTCTATGTAAGTAACCCTGGCTCTGTAATTAGACATAATTATTCAAGCTTACTTTTCTGATAAGTTAATTCTAAAACTAGGTTTTTAATGGCTTTTAACATCAGGAAAGAAATGCATACATATATATAAAATAAGGATTTAAGGAATACACGTGTTATATTGTTAATATGTATTGGGGGGATTATGTATCATTTAATAGGTATTATTAGAAAAAATCACTCACTATATATAAGAAAAAGTAAAACTGGATCCTGACCTAATGCCACATATAACAGCAGGTGAGCTGAAGCCATGAAAGAGAAATGTGAAGCTTCAAATTTAATAGAATAAAACATAAGAATTACCTTTGTGACCAGGGACAAAGAAAGACTTCTTTATAGAAGAAAACCCCAAAAACCATAATGTAAAATACTTTATTATTTCATTACATCAAAATTTATTTCTTTACATCAAAATAAAAGATTTTTTTTAAACAAAGTAGACCATGGACAACTCTTATAAACAAATAATAGAATGGGAGGGGATATTTGCATTGTCCAAAACCAACCAGGGATAATATCCAGAATATACAATGAACTCCTGCAAATCAGTAACAAAAAGGCAGCAACCCCTAGAGAAAAATACATGAAGGACATAAACATGGGCTTATAGAAGAAAAAACAGAAAAGGTAACAAGCATTTGAAGAGATAACCAAACTCACTAATAATCAGAATAAAACAAATTTAAACAGTACTGATACATTACTTTATAGCTATTAGACTAGAAAACATTAAAGAGTTAGACAGGATCAAATGCTGGTGAGGAAATGGGGATGCAGGAAGCCTCCTGCTCTGCTAGTGAAAACAAACTTGTGCAGCCATTCTGGAAAGAATGTTGTGATGCTGTTAATATGCATCATTTAGATATTAGCCATACTCAGGAATATACAGTAAATGATATCACTGGACAAATAAGCCACTTTGCTCTCTAATGACTTAATTCCAAAAAGATGATTTACTGGTGTCATTAACTGCACCAAGTAGAAAAGAAAAAAAAGGTTTCTTAACTACTTCAGATCACAATAGTATTTTAAAGACATTAGGGCACTAGAGATGTTTAAGTCAAGGAGTATATTTTATGAAACAAGCACTTCGAAAAATGAAACTTGTGAATTGCACAAGTTTACCTCCTACTAGATATACTAAAAAGGCCAGAAAGAATGTTTCTTCATATAAATGTATAATTTAATATTTAACCCCCTTCTCACCACCAATTCAATTACTTTGGAATTCAAATATCATTAATGAAGAGAAAATACCACCATACTTGACCAGTCTTTGCATGAAAAAAGAAATTAAATTTTAAGATCGCAAACTTACTAGAAAATATTCAGATATTTCACTTTTGAAACAATATAAATTATATAACTCAAGTGCTTGAAAGTTTATCTTGTAATCTATTCAAAAGACCATGAAAGCACTTACTTTATTTCAATGGACTCTGTCGTAGAAATACACTTAGTAGGAACATCAGATAAATCCTGATCCATGGGTTCATCTCCATTTGTCAAGCCAGATTCTAATTTGCTTTTTTCTTCTTCAGTAGCTTGAAGTTCTGGCACTAAGAAATCCTCTGGTCTAAATAATAAATGTCTAATTAGAAATAGTAATAAGCAAGCTAAAATTATATAATTTATATAACTAACTAGTAGATGGCATAATTTTTAGACTTCTCACATATCTCAAGACTTAAATATACATCTGATCCAAAGCCAATGCCACTTCATAATATCATTTATCAGATGACTGCATATATTATATTCTTCATGACCATTAAGGAGCGCTCTTTATTTTTTTAAGTTTTTTATTTATTTATTTATTTTATTTTTTTGTGAGGAAGATCAGCCCTGAGCTAACATCTGATGCCAATCCTCCTCTTTTTGCTGAGGAAGACTGGCCCTGGGCTAACATCCTTGCCCATCGTCCTCTATTTTATATGGGACACTGCCACAGCAAGGCTTGACAAGTGGTCCGTGGATGTCCGCCCGGGATCCGAACCAGCGAACCCCGGGCCGCACAGCGGAGCATGCACACTTAACCGCTATGCCACCTGGCTGGCCCCAGGAGTGCTCTTTAAAACACATCATGTTGACTAGGGAAAGGCCCAGGACAGATCATTAGAAGATCTTAGGAGCTATCATAAGTACTGTAACAACCTGGCCCTGCATTTGTTTCAATAAGTCTTTTTTCTCAATTTCTGTGGTTTCCCTTGCCAACTCCCAATTCTTATAAATCTAAGACCTCCTTTGATTTCCTTAAAGACCCCCAGTTATTCCATCCCTCCCCAAAGAAAGCAGATGACTCTCCATTCGCACATTACCAAGAAGATTGAGTTACAAAACCATTAGCTCCCTCAAAAGCCTTCAACTTTATTTCAACAAACTATTGACGCATCTATCTTCCCATTTTTACTTTCAGTATCAGAGAGAATTGTATGTTAAAACTAACAAACTTTTAAAAACGTTCTCTCTAACCTCCTACAATTGTCTATGCCTCATCCCCAAATCCACTCAGACTCCTCTCTGAGAATCCAGGCCTCTGTTACCCAACACCTAGACTGCTGCAGCAGCTTCTCAGCCCCTGGAGTCCAATATCCCCAACTATAATCCACATATTAACAATAGCAGTAGCAACCACGTAAAGTGCATTTACTGTGAGTCAGGTTCTATGTTAAGTGCCTTAAAAACACAACCTCATTTAATTCTTATTCCATTTTTTAGATAAGGAAATTGAAGGTAGAGAACACTGTCCATATGCTAAACAGATTGGCTACTAATTAAGTGGAATGGTAAACAAACTCACCAACGCTGTTTAGATTATTGTTTCTCCCTACTATTTTAGAGGGCCAAGTAGACAGTGGAATTTTCCTAATTAAATCCAAGCATGACCTAAGACCACTATATGCTCAAGACAGCATCACGGGAGCCAGCCCTGATGGCCTAGTGGTTAAGTTCCGTGCGCTCTGCTTTGGCGGCCTGGGTTTGGTTCCCAGGCATGGACCTACACCACTCACCAGTGCCCATGCTGTGGCGGTGGCTCACATACAAAATAGAGGAAGACTGGCAACAGATGTTAGCTCAGGGCAAATCTTCCTCAAGGAAAAAGAGGAAGATTGGCAATAGATTTTAGCTCAGAGCCAATCTTCCTCGGGGGGAAAAAAAAAAAGAAGCATTATGGAAGTACAAAGAAAGTACAAGGGAGGGACCTAACTGTGTTGGGGTGGCAATGAAGAAACAGGAAAGGTTTCCAGTAGTTTGTGAGGCCGGATTCAGCAGCCTGGAAGCTTGAGATTGGAAGGTAGAACAAGGCTGAAGGAAAAACGGGGGCAAGGGCATGACATGAAAATGCCAAGCAGAAGGAAAGTACCAGTTAGAAGGCTGGTACCACCAGAGTGGAGAACACACACTGACATAACAGAAATATACAGAAACATAACAGAAAGCAGAGAGAAAGCAGATCGTGAAAGACATTGTGCATTGTGCTAACGCATTCGAAAACAACAGTAATCCTGAAAGATCTTTACACAGGATAGCAGCATTTTCAACTCTGTAATCAGAACATGTGATTTCAGTTGTTTTTCTGATAATGGGTATAGATTTTCAATGGCTCCACTCATGCTATCTCGTATTCCTCTTGTAACTAAAACATGTGTGCAACACTATTTGAGATATAACCCATTTCCCAAACTTAACACAGTCACCATCCATCAAAAATCCTTCCTGGGGCCGGCCCGGTGGCGCAAGTGGTTAAGTGCATGCACTCCGCTGCGGCAGCCCGGGGTTCGTCGCCGGTTCGGATCTTGGGCATGCACCGATGCACCACTTGTCAGGCCATGCTGTGGCGGCGCCCCATATAAAGTGGAGGAAGATGGGCGTGGATGTTAGCCCAGGGCCAGTCTTCCTCAGCAAAAAGGAAGAGGATTGGCAGATGTTAGCTCAGGGCCAATCTTCCTCACAAAAAAAAAAAAAATCCTTCCTATCCTATGGCTTTCTCCAATGCATATTCCTTATCTCTCTTCTTAAATGGGAAAAAAAGTCTTGATCATCTTTTTAAACGTTTCACAAACCTAAGTAATAAAACTACCAGTTTTCCTTTAATATTAGTTCTCTAGATGTTCCTCAACCTTTCTATTTTTGCATTTCAAACTACAAGTCGCCTGTATCTTTCAGGCTAAGGTACACAGAAACTAACAAGTACCTGATGACCAGAAAGACCAAATGCATTGAGCGCAAATGATAACACAGTTGGTAACTCTAATCTGTAAGAAAGAAAGCTGGTGTTGCTCACATACTTGATAATTTCTCCATATTCATCCCATTTAATTCTTTCTTCTGGGGCGGGAAACATTGGATAAGACTTTTTGGCCTGTTTGAAGAAACTTCCTTTCCGACTACCTTCACCTTTCATCATCAGGTCGTGCTTAGTCTTATGAGCCGACGGCTGGTCAATATCTTCCTCAACGTCACTCTCGTCACTGGAATCTATATCTGCCCTAAGAAGATTTTGGAATAGATAAAGGTTATAAAGTCCCCCCAAATTTTTGAATTAATATTTAGAAAATTATTATTGAATTAATTCAATGATAACATAATATAATAATAATCAATATTATTGGATTCATATTTTATCAAACATAGCATTAACTGCCATTTAAATAAATACATATTAATATTAGCACTGAAAAAATGTGGCATTCTAGCAGCACTTGAAAGATGTAACAAAAGTAATGGAATCTAAAGAAAATTTAAACATTTTCAATTAAAAGTTTTTGTCAGAAACAAGTTCTTCTCAAATTATATATATAAACTTTTAATCTGTCTGAAAATAACTCACTCTTTTGACTGCTCAAGTTTTTTAGCAGCTTCTTTCTTTAGTTTCTCTTTTTCCAAATACTCTTCAAGTTCTTTCCCTTCAAGCTTCACACGTTTCCTCAACTAAAGAAAAATAGCAGACGAAAGGAAACATCAATATTAGGGGGTTAAGGCAGTGGGGTGTGAGATATATCACATCTCTAAATTGATTCAGCATCTTGAACTAAATTTTCCTCTGAAATTATTCAAGTTTCCATTACATGCAATTACAGATCCTATGTAGATCAGTACTAAAATTTAGCTATCACATTTCCAGGATGGGTTTAATTTAAATCAAATTGGTTAAAATGCACCAATCAGGAAAAGAAAATACAGAAAGTTTTTTTTTTGCTGAGGAAGATTTGCCCTGAGCTAACATCCGTTGCTAATCTTCCTCTTTTTTTGCTTGAGGAAGATTAGCCTTGAGCTAACATCTGTACCAGTCTTCCTCTATTTACTATGTAGGACATCGCCACAGCATGGCTGATGAGCGGAGTAGGTCTGCACCTGGGCTCCGAACCTGCGAACTGGGGCTGGCGAAGCAGAGCACACAGAAGTTTAACCACTCAGCCACGGGGCCGGCCCCCAGAAAATATTTTTATAATTTGGAGTAGTTGAGGCCTCCACATGATATAAAACCCAAAAGCCATAAAGAAAAAAATGAATAAATATGGCAACATGAAAAAAAACATCTCTTTGACATTTTAAATCTCATAAAATTAAAAGAAACTGAGAAAATTACTTGCAGCCCTACATGACTATCAGAAGCTACTTTTTCCTAAGAGGTCTTCCAAATCAGTTAAGAAATAAAAAAGGACAAAATACACATATAAGCAATTTACAAAATAAGAAAAATAAATAATAGCTATGAAAAGTGTCTAATTTTACTAATGATTTTTTAAAAATGCAGAATTTTTTAAATGTAATAAAAAATGTAATACCATCTTTTAATTTATGAGAGATTGGCAATGGTAATTACTATACAGGGAAACGGTATGTACCTTCATCCACTATCTATGGGAAAATGACTGCAACTACGTTAGAAGGCAATTTGCCAACATCTAAATATAAAAATGCGCTTGTCATTTGACACAGCATTTCTACTTCTAGGAATTTATCCTACTGAAACAATCACACAAATGTGAGAAAAAAAGTACATTGCAGCAATGTTTATAATAGTCAAAAATTGGACACAACTTTAAAATCCATCAACGATTAGATCAGTAGGTTTCAAACTTTTTGATCTCAGAATTGCCTTAGACACTTAAAAATTACTGAGAACTCCAAAGAGTTTTTGTTTTTCGTAGGTTACATTATTAACACTTACCATATCCGAAATTGAAACTGAAAAATTTTAAAAATATTTATCTGTTCACTAAAAAATAATAAAACCATTACATGTTAACATTAACATATTTTTACAAAAGATAATTATATTTTCCAAAAGCAAAAAAGAAATTAGTGGGAACTATGGCATTATTTTACATTTTCGCCATTTAATGTCTAGCTCAATAGAAGACAGCTGGAGTCTCACGTCTCCTTCTGCATTCAATCTCTTGCAATATGTTGTTTTGGTTAAAGTATATGAATATGCAGCCTCACACAGATGTATAGTTGGAAAAGGGAAAAATACTTAAATAGGCTTTCATGAATATCCTCCTTTGATATTACATTAAAACTCAAAAAGTGGTAGTTTCTTAAAGGTTAGTTGTAATATGGAATCTGAAACCATACCAATAACTTTTTGTACCATTATATTAAAATTTATTGATTTATCTTGCACTTTGAATGGATCTTTTATTTGTGTATTATTTTGTAACTACATGGATTAGTTATTTGGAAAATACTGGTTCACCAAGTTATACAGATCCTACAAATGTTGACAATATTTTAAAAATCATATTTGCAAATATCAACACCAATCTCATTAGCAAAGACTTTTAAGTTTTCCAAAATTCTAATTTTCACTTGAAAGCTTGAATTTTATCAGATTTAAGCAACAAATGCTATCAATTGTCTTCCTCAGAGTGACAAGCTCAATTTATTCATTTTTGGAAAATATCTGCCAAATATCCAAGTCTGAATAACCATGTTATTATATCAAGTAAAAATAGTGTTACAAGAAAAAAGTTGCTTAACTCACAACTCAATTATACAAGTGGCTTTCTTCGAGACAAACATCACGCTTTAGTATGCTACACAAGTGCTTTATGCCTACTTCCATCTTGTCACCCAGTTTATTAAAAAACTTTTTACTAGAAGGATTCAATAAAATAACCTTTACTGCTTCATCAAGGACATTCTTAAGTGAAACTGACCTATTTTTTGGACCTACAAGTGTGTGGTGATGAAAAATGCAGTGCCTACTTGTACAGTCTGGTGTCACTGCCTTGATTTATGCTAAGGCACCAGTACTTTACCCACCACTGCTTTTATTCAACATAAATGTAGGCACCGTGACAAGGCAAATAACATCTTAGTGTTATTATGAAAAATAGCTTTGACTTTGTGGACTCCCTGAAGGGGTCTCAAGGACCCCCCCAAGGGGTCCTCACATCACACTTTTGAGAACCACTGGATTCAATAATCACAGTACGTATATATCATGTATTATAAAATTACTAAAAAGCATTCATTCATTCAAAAACATCTGAATGTTTATAACAAAGCAAGTACTACATAATGTGAATCTGTCTCTACTTCTACTGTTCAAGAATATGTGGATAATTTGGTCCCATTTCTTTTTTAAAAAAATCATACAGATATTTGTATGTGAATAGGAAAAAAATACAGAACATATATGCTTCAAAAATGTCAACAGTCATGACAACTAAATGCGATGTGTAATCCCGAATGGGATCCTGAACAAAAAGGGAAAGGGAAATTATAAAGGACATTGTTGGAGCAACCCGGCAAAATCGAATGGGGTCAGCGGATGACAGTAGTCCAGTATCAGTGCTTGTTTCCTTATTTCAGTGGATGTACTCTGGTTTGCAGGAGAGTGTCCCTGTTTTTAGGTAATACACACTGCTGTGTTTACAGGTAATGATGGAATATCTGCACTTACTTTCAAATAGTTCAGAAAAAAACATCTAATATTGTATCTATGTGTATGTAAAGAAGTGATAAGACAAATCCAGTAAAATGTTGACAACTGGGGAATCTGGGTATACTATTTTTTACAACTTTTCTGTTAACTTTGAAATTTTTTCAAAATAAGAAGTAACAAAAAACAAATTAAACCAAAATCAAGTGATTCTCCTGTACAGGATGACTGAGTGATTTACATTTTACATCTGGCATTCAACATTTGCCTAGTTGCTTACTTGAAAATAACTTTCATTTAGAAAAGCGTCATTATTTTCCTTATTTTACAGTTAGCAACTTATACAGATGCCTGTCTTACCCACAAATAAGTTCTAATAGAAAATTTACCCCATGATTTAGTTTATGCCTGTTGCTATCATAAATTTTACTCTCCATCTTATTTTTCACTTGGGATATCTAAAATTAATGACTATACTCAGAAACAGATTTCTAGAATAATCACCCTACGATACTTTTCTTCCTACTCCTTCATTGTATTACCTCCAAGTTATTCCTTTTCCTAATCAAATCTGCTCCAATTTATTCATCTTTATTCAATTACTGTCTTTGCTCTTTTTAAATGAGCAAGACTGGATTCAGGAAAGCGATAAACGTAGGTGAAAAAATATCATACACAGTAAACTCTTGTCTCACATGCTCAGAAACCTGGTTACATATTCACTCATTTAGTCATTCACGAACTCAACCAATACATTTATTGAGGACCTTCCACGTATCAGGCACTGTTCTGGGTGCTAGGGATGTAAAATAAGGAGATCTCTTTTCTCATGGAACTTGTAGTCTAGTTGGTAGTAGGGAGAGGAAGACAACAAACAAGGAAAATATCAGACAGTGATGAGGGCTAGGAAAAATAATCAAATTAAGAGGATGGGCTGGCAGCTACCTGAGAAGTTATTTTAGATTAAAGGCTTACCTGAGGAGGTGACCCTTAAACTGAGACTTGAATGACAAGGAGCCAGCCACGTGTAAAGCTGGGAAAGAACATTATAGGCAGAAGGAACAGCTAGTGCAAAGATCCTGACACAGTGTAGAGCATAGAGAAAGTGGAATGAGATAAGATCTGAAAGGTGGGTGGAGGTCAGATCATGTGGGATCCTGAAAGCCTGGGTAAGGAGTTTGGAATTTATTCGAAGAGCAGAAGGAAGCCATTGGAGGGTTTAAGCAAGGGAGTGACATGAAACGATGAATGTTTAAAACACGCCTTTGGGGGTTGTTCAGTGCATAGAGTTTCAGTTTTGCAAGATAAAAGTTCTAGAGATCGGTTGTACAATGCTGTTCATAAGTTAACACTACTGTACCATACCCTTAGAAATAGTTAAGGAAGTAAATTTTGTTATGTGGTTTTTACCACAATAGAGAGAGACAGAGACAGAGAGAGCTGTCTTTGGCTGCTATGAGAAGAAAAGATTGAGAGAGTAAAAAAAGTAAAAGCAGAGAAACCAGTTAGGAAAACACTGCACAGTCCAGGCAAGACCACTTAGCTTGGGCTAGGATGATGGCAGCGGAACTGGAAAAAAGTAGAGAGATTTAGGATATATCTGGAGGTCGAGTCAACAAAACCTGTTGCTGGACTAGATACGGGTGCTGAGAGAAAAGTAAGGAATTAAACATAAGTTTTTATAACTGTGCATTAGAAGTCAGGATAGTGGTTACCCTTGGCAGGGACAGGGAGGATCAGGAAGGGGCATCTGGGGTACTGGTAATATTCTATTTCTTGACCTGGGTAGAGACTAGATAGGTGTATGCAATTTGTGAAAATTCATCATGCTGTACACTTACAATATGCGCACTTTTCAGTATATACTATATTTCAATGAACATTTTAAAAATTTCTAGATTTTTGGCTAGAGTAAATATGTGGAAAGTGCTGCTATGCTCTGAGATGAGGAAGACCCAGCAAAGAGCAAGTCTGGGAGTGGGGGGAGAAGGAACAGTAAAAATTATTTTGGATGTGACCAAGCAGAGGGAAAAACTGATAGATAATGGAGAGGGGATAACTACAGAAGAAATATTCCTAACAAGGTGAGAGGGGAAAGTATCCTGAGCATAAGAACTAGTTATTAAAAATCAAAAACCTAACGTTTCAAGTTTCAGCTGCTTCTGATTTCTTTAGAAAGCTTCTGAATGTCATTTTCTTTTTTTCAACCTTAAACCACTTTTAATATTCTTTTGTTAATTCCTCAAATGGCATATCAGCCTTAATTAAATTTCCAGTAATTAATATTTTCAAATTCAGTATTTCCTATCTCATCAAACTGTTTCAAATATTTTTGAGTTCTTTTAATTTTGTATTTCTAAGCTATTAAATAACCCAAAGGACAGTATTTTACTTTGGTATGCTTGCTCTGAATCCTTCCTCAACAATTCTGTATTCACAGTGCATGCATATCAGATTTTAGTTACTTTTGTTATGCCTGTCTTAAGCAGAGTTATAAGGCTAAGATACCCTTACCACTCAGCTTTCAACAAACTGTAACTTCCTTAAAATGGCTGCTATGAAAGCAAAATGAAAAGCAGTCATCTAAAACTTTGCACAATTCTGGCAGTTATTAACCAACCCATTCTTAATTGCTATAAACCTTACAGTTAATGATACTAGTTTTGGAAAAGTGATAGACTTGATGAGTTGGCTATTAAGCAAAATGATCTTTTGGCATACTGGTCATTTGGCTAATTGTCTTGGTTCTATAACAGGAGATAAGGCAGCAAATGCAGATGCAGAAGTAGATTAGGATATTGAGTGGTGAGAAGTAAGGGAATTCCTGTCTGACTGCTTCTACTTCTCAATTAAGTTTGAAACAAGGTCACGTGCTCTGGGTGAGGGCTGAGATTCAGTTGTAGGACACTTGAGCAGAAAGAAGGTATGAAATTTTCTTACTAGAGAGTGGGAAAAGGAATATCCTACAGTGTTGATGCTGATTGGGTGCCATTCTGAGATGTGAGATCATGCATGTGAAGGGAAACCTGTCCACACAGTAATGTGTTGAACTTCAGTAACATAAAGCCGCTTGGGTATAGGCACAGACTAAGCAAATGGTTTAGAGTCAAGGCTCTGCCAGAAGAGTATTATAAACACAAAGAGAGTAAGAGAGCTAAAAGCGTATGCAAAATAATGATGGACCACCGACTCGAAGATGGAGGGATGATGGATAGTAAAAGTGGTGAGGTTCATGAATTGACAGTCCCAATGGGACCAAAGACCTGTTGGCATGGGAGTAATAGAGAAAGTCAGCTGTAGGATCACAGTGGGATGCTTGAGGTAGAGATCTGGAGATTGTTTAATCCTAAAAAGGTTAAAGGTGTGACCACAGGAGTGCACAGCATAATCGTGGGAATGGATGGCTGAGGTGGAGTGGAGGAAAAGATCATTAAGAAATAAGGTGTTGGGGCCGCCCAGCGTGCAGCGGTTACGTGCACGCACTCCACATCGGCGGCCCGGGGTTCTCAGGTTCGGATCCTGAGCGTGCACCGACGCACCACTTGACAAACCACGCTGTGGCGGCGTCGCATATAAAGTAGAGGAAGATGGGCACGGATGTCAGCCCAGGGCCAATCTTCCTCAGCAAAAAGAGGAGGACTGGCATCGGATGTTAGCTCAGGGCTAGTCTTCCTCACAAAAAAAAAAAAAAGAAACAGGGTGTCAAGGAACTGAGGGCCAAGGAATTGGATAGATCATAGATATGGATGCTAATGTCATCAAGAATGGAGTCCTAAGTGTAAGTGGACAGGAAGACTGTAAATCAGGGTCTAAAGTCACCCATGAATGACAGAGAATGACCAAGAGATCAGCAAGTGCCAGAAACAAGGAGGGGTCAGAGTATTGTCAAGTCTGGTGGCACGAACTACAGAGGAAAGAGAAACGGCTTGAAAGCTGCAATAAAGAACAAGGATGCTGGGCCGGCCCCGTGGCTTAGCGGTTAAGTGCGCGCGCTCCGCTGCTGGCGGCCCGGGTTCGGATCCCGGGATCGCACCGACGCACCGCTTCTCCGGCCACGCTGAGGCCGTGTCCCACATACAGCAACTAGAAGGATGTGCAGCTATGACAGACAACTATCTACTGGGGCGTTGGGGGAAAAATAAATAAATAAAATCTTTAAAAAAAAAAAGAACAAGGATGCTTACCTCACCCAAGGTACATGAAGTGTGAAAGAGAAAAAAAGAGCTTCCACTTGAGAGGGCTACAGGAAAAAGAGTATCACTAGGAAAGAGCCAGATTTCAATTAAGGAAAGGATGTGAAAGGAATATTTCAAAGAGAGATTGAGAATACAGTGTATATGTATACCCTCTGGACATGGTTCCCGAGGGTACCACGGAAGGGTTCAAAAACGAGAATTTCCAATTAAGGAGCTCTGAAATTTGTGCTATTAAAGGCTCTCTACTGTTACTCTAATAAAAATCCTGAAACAATTTCAAGTTTTATTTTTGGTCACTGATTTTTATAAACATCATGCATAATGTATCCCCCAAATAGTTTTAAGATAGTTCACATACAAGTACTTACCTCTATTTCTGTAATTTTTTCAGAAGGATTATCAATTAGGAAACGTGCTAAAGTCCCAGGAGTAGTTCTGTAAGTTAGAATGATTGAGTTTTTAGGGTCCTGACACCACTGAATAAAGAGATCCCTTGAAAATCCACATTCCAGGTCAGGTTGGCTGGCAAGTACCACTTTAGGACTAGGTACTCGAGCCAAGTCAGAAAGACCATGACATAAAGAGAGATGGCGAAACTGAAATGGATTATTTCTTTTGTCTTCAAAACATCTCATCAATTTATCACTCATCCATTCTACCTAATATAAGGGGAAAAGACGACAGTAATTAGAAAATACTATATTATAACCTCAGTGTATTCTACAACAGTCAAGGAGTCCAAGTTCTATCTTGTTGTAAGTCTTTTCCCCCCATCGGCTGCTTAAATTTGCACCATTTTGACAAGCAGCTTTTTTCTGCTTCTGTTCTCCATTAGATCCTCCCACCCCAACGTTCACCCCTAAAATCCAAGTTTGCATTATGTTTCAGTTACAAGTCACCTTAAATCTTATTGAGAAGGTAGTGTATAAGTTTCTAAATGAACATCTTACCGCAGAGATTGCTATTTCAAGGGAAAGAGTTTACTCAAAAGGAAGGGAAAAATGAATTCTAATATTTATAGCCTATGAGGTAGGTTCTATTTTTGTCCCCATTTCATGGATTGGGATACTACGGCTTAGAGGTGAAGCAACTCACCCAATCTGTAAAATGAGGACAAAAATAGAAACTACTTCATAGTATATAAGTATTATATACTATATAGATTAAATGAAATAGTGTATGTAAAGCACACAACAGTAACTGGTTAATTTTTAGCTATTATTATTATTATTATTATCAACCTCTTCAACAGAATAATAAAATCCAAAGGGCAATTAAGACATTGTTTTCCATACGCTCAATCACTGTAGCAAACTTCTTTATTACAAATGATTAACATGAAAACAAACCTGGGACTTAGAAAACTCTACCACATTATAACTGACGTTATTTAGGAGTGCCAATGAGTAAACACCCAATCCTGCATCCTTAGTTCTCCAAATTTGATCAAGAAGTTGAGCAAGTTCCAAAACTCTGCCTGCAGTGTCCACTGCTATTAATACATTTCCATCACCTCGAAGTGTTTCCAGGACATTTGCTAGAAAACAAGAATGTAAAATCCCTATAGAACATAATAATATTTTGCTACAAAATTAAAGATAACTTTATCTCCCTGTTTTTACTATAAAGATCATAACTTATAAATAAGCAATTACTATGTCAGGGACAAAATAAAAGAATTTCATTCAGGTTATTACAACTACTTTTTATTCTGTCAATACATCTTCATATGAGTGAAAAACAATGCCATTAACTCCCAATTTTTTTCACTGAAAAATTACAAATCAGTAGTTCTCAACCCTTTTCACATCATAGCACACATAGAAAATGGTATTTATATAGTACACTGGGAAAACTGGGTGACTAGGTCAAATGCAACCAGCCTGGGATTTCCAGGTCACCCTGGTCTCACCTGTCACCTCAGTGAACTTTGGTATAAATAATTCCCAAATTTACATACACACATAATACACTTTATATTTATAATGCATGTTTTGTATGTATGTACTCCTGTAGAATAAAATATAGATCATATTCCCTCTTCCAATAAAAGTATCTTTATAAATAGATTTCCTTGCTCTAGATGAAAGTCTGCTTAGAAATATTTGGTAAAACCAAACTCTAGCAAAAACTAACAAACAAAAAAACCAAGAATTGAAGACCTTCTTAAAGTTAGTGCAACACAGAATACAAGTTATACTTTTTAAATGGATAGACAGAGGCAGTGGTCTCAAAGACGTTTATAAGTGGAATCCAATTTTCCCTGTTGAAATTCCATCTACCTTATAAAAAAAGAATAATAAGATAAAGCAGCTCAAATCAAAGCAGAAGCAACCAGGGATGGCCCAGAGGCACCTCTTTAGAACCAAGACTTCTAGATTACAGTGTAAAACAGCCATCACCAAAATCAAAGGACCATTTGCACCCTCATTTATCTCCTTTGCTCATTTTTCTCTTAGTGTATATGTTTTTCTAATTGATTTATATGAGATCTTTATATATTTTGGTGTTCCCTAGACACACAGCATTGAGCATCAGGGAGAGCTAGCTATGTGATGAATGGCAGGGAGAAGCCAATCTTGATACCTATCCCACACAAGTTAAATTCAAACCAACTAAAGCATCTTTTTGTACAAAATATTGATAGGGTCACATAATATTTTTTCAAAAATAATAGAGTTAGCAAATCTCTTCTGACCAAGTGTTACACAGAATAAACACTAATTACCACGCACTTCCACAGCTCTTTAAAAAGGACATTATGGAATACGTACTCAGAAGTTGCTCATCTCTCTGTTTTCTCCTAGGCTGCACGTACGTAGCATTAAATGAATCTGTGATAAGTAGCGAGGGTCTGCTTAGCATTTCCAGAGAACATCCATTCAAGTGGCTATAACACAGTTGAAGAAGAGGAATATTTTATATCACTTCAAATAAACAAGTTTATCTTACCTAAAAATTAAGCTTCTTTTATAAGATTTTTTTCCTCCTCTACCTATAAAAATATACATGTTTATTAATAAGAAAATCTGGTAAATTCAAAAAAGTATAGAGGAAAATTAAGATCTTCCAGAGTATCATCACTCAGAGATAATCGATATATTTTAGTGTACATCCTTCTAAGCACATAAATAAATTTTTTTCTGCATATATATATGTATGTATTTTACAAAGGTGATTTCCCATGTATACTCCTATATACTCAGTTCTATATCCTGGTTTTTAATCCATGACATTAAAATTTTTTTCTAAATCTAATTTTTAAAAATTGTAAAAATTTTCTATTATGTCTGTACTATATTTATTTGATCCTTTCCCTTTATTGATATTTAGGTTACTTTTTTTGCCATTATGAATAATCTCTCAAAGAATATTTTTGCAAAAAGCTTCAATTGCATTTCTGATTGTTTCCTTAGGACACATTCCTAGAAATGTATTTACTGGAATATACTCTATTGCTAAATGGCTTTCTAGAAAGGTTTAACCTTTTCCAGGAAGCTCTCCCTTTTCCAGAAAGGTTCAACCAGAAACACTGACCAACTCAATAACATGGTCCATTGCCTTTATGCTTACAAAGTCTTTTCCAAATCAGAGATCAGACTTACCAACACTGTTTCATTTTCTATTTAACTCTAATCCACCTGAAATTCATTTCGTTATATGGTTAAAAAAGACACAAACTGACTTTTTTCCCAAAATGGTTGAATACCACTTACTCCAATATCCATCCTTTCCTCATTAATCTGTGATTACAAGAGCCTAAAATTCAATTTATTAGTCTTAAATATTTCTTAATATAAGACACAAAAGATCTTGAGGCTACTGTACTCTAATACAAAATAGCTATGAACTTAATCTACAGAAATAACAAAAGAAGACGGTATTAGACTAAACACCAAAACAATTTTATAGTGTAAGTCTGTGAGTACAAAATGAAGTATTTAAAATTATACTACTGTGTCCCCTTTTAAAGGAGGTCTGGCTTTAAAAACAGTTATATTAGATGGTAATTACTAACTTTACAAAAAAAAAAATCCACAAAGTTCCTTTAAATAGCAGATCAAGAGCATATAAAATATAATTTGATGTACAAAAAGCAATCTCCTTTGCAACATCTCCAGGGAGAGATCTGTTTTATAGAATGGATACTTACACATAAATTTTAATATCTTTTATCTCTGATATCAAACTTTTTCCCTTACAATGCAAATAATTATGTAATTTTGAAAATACTCACTATTTGATGCTTTTAAATTGCTCAATATCTCTGGTTAAAAAAATTGCTTTGTTTCTAACTTTCCCTCCAAAGAATGAAATAACAGCAATTGCATTTCCATTAGCTTTTGTCTTGATATACCTACATCTCCCTCTTGTGGTTGAAGTCAACTGCATAAACAATTTCTTCTTCTCCATCTTTGACTATTTTCCATATTGTTCCACCTATCATATGACCAGCTGGCAAAGGTGTGATAGACAAGCCATGTCCTTTACCTATGTCAACAAGATAATGACAACACTCAGATTTCTTTTACAACCCTAAAGAAACGTTATTTACTTGTAAGCTATTTTTTAATAGGTAATATATGCAATGATATAAAATTAAAAAGCAAAAAGGCATTCAGTGAAATGCAAGTCTCATTCTCCCGTCCCCTAGTGACTCCGTTCCCTCACTGGAGGCAAGCACTCTTATCATTTTATTATGCATTCTTGCAGACATATTTGTGCTTATAAACAGAAGGCTAGTGATTGGACTTAAAAGCTAGTACACTATTAAATTACCTAATATGGACTAATAAATTTTAATATTTATATTGTACATATAATTATCAAGTGTTTCCATTTTCGCTAACCTCTAAACTGACAAAACAACAGTTCAAATCTCAGGGTAAAGAATTTATCCTATGGAAAAATTAAGTACAAGCAAAACTGTTGAGACCACTGTTACTTCCTGGCGACATCTTCAGAATCCATTGTTGCACCAGTTTTTCAATGCCGGGGTTCATATCTATGAAAATCTTTAATACTATTCTCTCTATAGATGATATAACACACACTTAATATATGACTTCCCAGCCTAATTAAATAATAAACTTCTTAACGTCCAATTCTAGAATTCAGTCATTTTCTACTTTGTGCTACCACTGCACATCATTTACTTCAATCACTATATTTAGTCATCTGAGCTACTTTATCTCCTCAACCTAATTGTGAGCTCCTACAAGGAAGATCTGGCCACATTACTTTTGTGCATTATACAGTATAAACACTAAATAAGTCCTTCTCAAGTTAAATGTGAAAAGGCCTAAGTGTTAACATTTTGTTAGTATCTGGTCTAGAATTTAAAATCCAAATGACTTAGGAGAATTTCAGAGCTCCATATCAGAAAATGCTAATTATTTATTCTTCAGACCATAGTGCCTATAATTTTTACTACAAATTCCCCTTGTACTTTTCAGTAAGTTAAACCCCATTAGTCCAATTATTTACTACTGGAAACATCTTTTACCTTTCAAGTTCACAATCTGAGAGAATTTTAACTGTTGTATTTTATCAAAGGCTGCATCCACATCATCTAATGTAAAGAGTGTAAAATCTTCTGTATTGTGTCGAGACTAAAAGAATAACACAAATAAAAGGTTAAAAACGATCACTGCAGGAGTGTAAAATTTTTTTTTTTTTTGGGAGGAAGATCAGCCCTGAGCTAACATCCATGCCAATCCACCTCTTTTTTTGCTGAGGAAGACTGAGCTAACATCTGAGCTAACATCTATTGCCAATCCTCCTCCATTTTTTCCCTTTTTCTCCCCAAGGCCCCAGTAGATAGTTGTATGTCATAGTTAAACATCCTTCTAGTTGCTGTATGTGGGACGCCACCTCAGCACGGCTGGACAAGCGGTGCGTTGGTGTGCGCCCAGGATCCGAACCTGGGCTGCCAGTAGCGGAGCGCATGCACTTAACTGCTAAGCCCCAGGGCTGGCCCCTAAAATTTTTTTTTAATTGCTTAAGTTACCTGATAGAGATCATACATGAACATCTGTCCCATTTTATAAACAGGAATGGTTGCGTAGATAGCACAATTCAGACCCAGCTTTCCAACAGCATATGGGAGGGCACCAAGATGCAGAGGATCAGGGTGAGACAACAGGACCGCATCAATCTGATGAACATGCCTAGGAGAACACAATCAAAATGACTATTTCTCACATCTTGTTTTTAAGGTTAAAGGCAAGATATTCAAAATCAATTCACCAATTCTGATTCCTCTTAGTATTCTAGATTGAAGACTATGCTGGAGTAACAGAGCAAAACTAAGAGCTAAAATTATACCTATGAATTTCAATTATTGCTACCCTGTCCTGCATAAATATTAAAATTATAAGTTGCACACAAATATATGGTGTCTAGACACACTAAAAAAAAAAAAGACAGAGAAACAGTAGACACCACATGTAAGCCAATTTCAAATGGCTATCTTGTATAATAATTATTTAAGTTCAAGAACTCAGCTTGGAATTTCAGAAATTGTTCAGGGGGAGGATATTTAAATGGCCACATATTTATTATGAATTTTTGCCTCAGCTTTTTAGCATGTTGACTGACAGGATACTCATTATAGTAAAACCTCAATTAATCGATGAAGCATACGCTGTCACTGACAAAATAAATTAACTAGAAAAAAATTTTTTATGCTACAAGTTCTAAGTTTTTTAAATGTCGAAGTCCTCTTTCCTTCCATAATTAGTACAATACTGTAAACATAACTGAATTTTTCTTTGGCGGATTAGGATCCTTTTGTATCTTATGGTCATTATTCTGAGAACCAATTTTCAAAGTCTAGCATCAAAAAGCTATAGAAAGTATCCTAATGTGATCTGACTGCAGAACTTTCACACAGAAGGTTTTTCCTCTCCAAATTCTTACAAACTTAATCTTGCTCTTTCCTAAAATTAGGGTACAAAAATCGCTACTGAGATCCATAAGCCAAGTAACAATTAAGGTTTTGCTGATTTCAATAAACATAGCTTCTAAGTCAATCAAAACTTTACAAGTGAAAATGGTCACTGTTTGGCTCTTTGGCACAAGTAAAACTAAGTCTTTGCTACAAACTAAATAAGAGCAGAAAAGCAAACACTGTGGAACATCAAAATGGTATTAAGTGTAGAAAAGAGAAGTTGATTTAATAAAAGTCTAGAAATATGAGAAGTAACTTACTTCCTCAGGGAATCTATAATATCCATAGAAAAGTGCTCATCCCAGCCACAGTCTAATAAAAATCTAAACTCATCAACTTGGAGAAGATAGCAAAGAGCAGACTCTTCTTGGACCCCAGAGAGGGTGGTTAATTTGATAATAGATGTCATTTTCTTGGTCCAGTAACAACAATCCAAAAGCTTCCTTCAAAAGAAATAAAAATATAATTAAATATAAAAGCACTGTCTAATATACATAATAGACAAATTAACTGAAATTATACCAGATTTCTAAGTGCACAGAATTTCCATAAACATGGAAAGCAAAGATTTTAAAGACCCATTTCCATCACTGCTAAGTTTCAAGGTACAAACATGATCTTACACACTCTGGTTTACAAAGAGTCCTTCAGTGGCTCCCCAGTGTGGTTTAATAAAAAGCAGTGGACTTTGGAATCAGACAGACCCACAATTGAATCTACTCCTATGTGATTCTTGGTAAGTTAATAAACCTTTCCTCACTCATGTATCTCAGTCTATAAAACATAAGTATTAATATATACATAAAAAGGATGTTCGAAGATTTCAAATAATGTGTAAATTACCTAGAATAGAGACCACCAAGTTCCTCAATAAATAAATGTATACCGAATTAATGAACTCATCTTTCAAGGTGAATTTGTTCCACCTTTATTTGTTCTATGACAACAGTGATTACACTGCATTACAATTGTTAGTTTAGAAGTGTCTCTCTCCTATTAGACCACCAGTCCTTAAATAAACAGACTCCCTTGAGAATCTGATAAAAAGCTATGGACTCTTCTTTATCCCCTCAGTCCTCAAAAACAAAAATAAAAACGGCAAATATACACATAGAAATTCACATACTTTTCAGAAATTCACTTTACTTTTCAGGAAGTTTAATGTTAAGAACCCTTGCACTAGAATGCGAGAAACTGAAAAATAGAGATAGTATCCTATGTTTGCAATTCCTAAAAAAGAACTTGACACACAATAGGTGTTCAACATTTATTTGATGGCATGTATGTTGGGATGCCTACTAATATATTTCAAGAAGATACAACATGAACACATCTATTGGGATTTAGGACCTAGAATTGCGTGCTATTAAATAGAAGTTATAAAAATATTCATTGGCAAAGCAGAGCTCCACAGCAACATTTCAGATCTTAGTAACTTAAAATAAATTAGCCTTTCCTGGCTAACCATGCAAGTAGGAGAGGTCACTGCATACCTGATGATCTACCACCATCCGCCCAAGGTCATATCAACAAAGTAAGGTAAAGTGACTGCCCACCTTCCATAACAGGCTATCAGGAGACTCATCCCACCATATCTCCCATCTTTGTTCTCCTCAGTAACGCCAAAAAATCCAAGACTCCTAGGTTTTCCATTATCACTCATGTGTACATCTCCTAGTTGGACCCAATCCCCTACCTCTTCTCCCTCCCAAATCCTTCCAGTATGCCCTCTGCAACTATGATTATACTCACCTGTTAACTTCAACCTCTTTCTGAACGTTTTCTTCACCTGCTTACCTTCACAGATACCTGGCTTTTCCCAAATGATACTGTTTCCCCTGCAGCCTTCTGAAGGCTTTTTTTTCCTCTTGTACTCCCTGTACAGTAGTCCCCCCTCATCCACGGTTTTGCTTTCCGTGGTTTCAATTACCCGAGGTTAGCCAGTCTGAAGATATTACATGGAGAATTTCAGAAACAAACAACTCATGAGTTTTAAATTGTGCTCCATCTCTGAGTAGCGTGATAAAATCTCATGCTGCCCCGCACTGGCCCACCAGGGACGTGAATCATCCCTTTGTCCAGCATATCCACACTGTATGTGTGTATACGCTACCCGCCCATTAGTTACTTAGTAGCCAATTCAGTTATCAGAACGACTGTTGGAGTATCACAGTGCTTGTGTTCAAGTAACCCTAATTTTACTTAACAACGGCCTCAAAGCGCAAGGGTACTGATGCTGCCAATTCGGATATGCCAAAGAGAAGCCATAAAGTGCTTCCTTTAAGTGAAAATGTGCAAGTTCTCGACTTAATAAGGAAAGAAAAAAAATCATATGCTAAGGTTGCCAAGATCTTCATTATGAATGAGTCTTCTATCCACGAAATTGTGAAGAAGGAAAAAGAAATTCATGCTAGTTTTGCTGTCACACCTCAAATACGTATGTATAGGAAAAAACATAGTATATATAAAGTTTGGTACTATCTGCGGTTTCAGGCATCCACTGGGGGTCTTGGAACGTATCCCCCTGGATAAGGGGAGACTACTGCACCGCAAAAGCAGGAGGTATGTGTTCCTTACTCCTCGCTGCAGCTTCCAAACCATGTCTTCTCCTTCCCCCTTCAAATACTCCAGTCCCATCACAGCTCACGCTACCCAGCTAGTTCACTATGAGCCTTCCCCACTTTCTCATCATCGTTGGTACGCCGTAATCTGACCTGTCATTGAAGACTTGAGTTCCTGACTCAGGCTTTTTTTTCAGGAGCTTCAATACTGACTTCTTAGTCCCCTGACTTTCTCAACTCCAACAATCTTCACTTCACTTCAGCCACCCACAATCACATTTACACCCTAGACCTTACCACTACCAATAAGCCACGCCACTTTCAAAATTTCACGTTCAAGCACATCACCCTCTCACTACCACCTTACTTACTCTAGCATTCCCACTGCAAAAATCCTTTGGCCTCACTGGTATCTCTAACCCACTGACCACTTTTTCACTATCCATGACCCCCTCCTGTCTCCATTCATGTCTTGCCATCAATCCACGATCCCTCAGGATTATTTTGCAAACACTCTCAAGTACCTTGATGCCCTAGCCCTTCTCTGTACTAGCGTGGCAAAACCCCAACCCTGACTGACTCCAGTCCTTCACTTTGTCTTTTCCAGCAGCTGAACGCTGCCAAAGGAAAAAACCCAATCACACAACTGTGCTGTTTGCTCTTTAAATTCATGGCCAAAGATCTCAAACAGGCACTAAGCGCTACCTATGAATCTGATTTTTCTTAGTAGGTTGACTTTCCATCTCTGAGACTGTTATTTCACATCTCTTCTCTGCTCAAGCATCATGCACCACTCCCTCCACCTTACTCAAAGCTGGTAATCTCACTTCATTCTTCAATTAGAAAATAAAAGTAATCAGACAGTCACTTCTCATCTTCCAATACCATATCTACTAACCTATTTGCGTGTACACTGCTGTGTCTCCTATTATATGGAATAAAGAGCCCTGCTCTGGTCCAAGGCCAGTGTCCTATGTGTGCTCTGGATCCCATTCTCATTTACCTTCTCAAGGACTGAACTTCCTCAGTCATTCCTTCTTTCCCCTGCATCATCTATGTATCATCGATGCACCATTCCTATTAGCATACAAAGATGCTCTAGAATTTCCCAACTTAAAATAACCCTCTCTTAATCCTACAATCCCTCCAACCACTTCCTCATTTCTGCTCCCCTTTCACAGCAACATTTCTCAGAATATTTGCCCACAAACATGTCTCCACTTTCTTTCCTCCCATTCACACCACCAAATCTGGCATCTTTCCCCACCATATCCTAGAAGTGCTTTCACCAAGGTCACTGACAAACCTCTATACAACTTAGGCCAATGGACATTTCTCTGGCCTCAACTCTCCGGAAATCACAGCAGCATTCAGTCAAATGAACTGCTCCATCCTCCTTGAAACGCCCTCCTTTCTCTGCTTTTGTGTCAACCCTCTCTTGGCTTTCCTTCTACCTAACTGGCCACTCCTCAATCTCCTTTGTTAATTCCTCTTTCGCTCTTCAGCCTCTAAATGTGGCCATGCTTTTCAGCAGGACTTCTTTTCTTCTCTTTCTAGGTAATCTCACCCAGTTCCATAGCTTTAAATATCATCTGATCTCTGATGGCATCGTCCTTGATTCCTTCCTTTGCTTCCCACATCCAATCCATCAGTAAGTACTGCATTTTTGCCTCCATTTTATTTCTCAAATTTCCTTCTATCTCCACTGTCACCAAGACCTCTAACTAGTTTGTATATTTTCCCTGCCTCAAACTTAATTCTCTCAGACACGGTTTTCTGACCACCCTAACGTCCTTCCCCACCTCAGTTACAGCCTATGACAACATTCTAATGCCCTCAAAATACTTACTGCTTTCTATTCTTGCAATGTATGTGTTTACTCTCCTTGTCCGTCCTCTTCTCTCTTCCTAACCCCTACACTAGAATATGGACTCCATGAAAGTACAGACCTTGTCTATTTGGATCAGTTATATTCCAGTGCCTCCATAGTGCCTGACACAGAGTGGCGGCCAACAAATGCCTCTTGAATAAATGCATGAAGCATGACTAGTATTACCTGAGCTTAGTGCCCTCACCACACTATTAACAGTTACCTATTTGCATGCATTTCCCCTTGCTTGGGAGAGCTCTCTGAGTGCAGGACTAGGCTTGATCTATTTTTGTATCCTTACTATATTAGCACGTCTTACACATAGTGGTTGGCCAATAAACTGTTGTTGAAACAAACAAGTTCAAATTAAAAATATACTGACTTAACATGTTCCTATTTGTCAGGTATGAGAAGTACAAAGATACTAATTCTCTATTTGATGAAAAATGTTTATAAATATAATTTTGGAAAGGACCTAAGAAATTCTCACTGCCAGAAAGCTTCCTGTACCACAATTATATTCATGGCCTAAGAGAAACTCTTTTTCTACTCAAATCTACCTTAACTCTCACTGTCTTTATTTAGATTACGAAGTGAAAATAAAAAGTATCTTGCAGATAGAACTGAATGAGTTCATGTTAAATTTTTTTGCAGACAGACCCAGATTTCAACAAATGAAAATATATTTTTATTACAACTTCTCATAATATAATAAAACTATATCTTTATTAGATATTCGTTACTTACTGATATCTCAGTCGTATATCAGATGAAACACCATGAATTCAAAGGAAGAGTTCTTTATAAATCTAAAAAGTAAAGAAACAAGGGTCTCATGAACATGGTATAATGATTTACTTCTGTTATTAATTATGGTGTTTAACTTCTATGTCTTGCTCTAAGACGAACACTGTGAGCAGCAACAAGTAGTATAATATATGGTCCTCTTTTAAAAAAGAAATGTCATAATTTTAGGAAGTTTAAGCTTACATAAAACAAGAATAAAATAATAAAAGATAATAACAAAAGACAAAAATAAATAATAATGAACCAAATTAGTTATTATCAGAGGCTGCAATATGCAGTTTAGGAAATAAGATTTTAAAAATTGACATTAGTTTATGTTACTGGGAATCACAAAGAGGTGGAATCTTAAAATATTTGTTAAGGGTTGGTAGGACCTGGGTACAAAGAGACAAAGAGAAAAGGTACTCAAAACAGGGGAATAACACGATCAAAGGCACAAAACAAAAATTTACAGAATACTAGTGAAAAAACTAGCCTGGCACATTTTCATATAAGCAAAAAATGAAAGAAAAGGCCTAATGCGTAGAAAAGGGCCTGATAATAAAAGGCCTTGGTAACTTTGGATCTAGCTCTACAGGCAACAGAGAAACATTTTAAGATCCATTATCAAGTAAGAAGATGACATGATACAGGCAATTCTGTATTTTAAGAAAATTAATTGATGTGTATGACTGATGAGATAAGAAGATACAGAAACCAGGGAGATAAAAGGGGAGAGTATTTAGCAGACCACTTCCTCCTTTCAATTTTGCTGGTTTTATTTTGAAACTAAATTTCTTTAGCCTCAAATGTACTTTATAACTCTATGACATGAATTCATTAGTCGTTATCTAGGTAACCAAGGTCTGAAACTCTACATGTTTGATTCCTTCTTTTACTTCTTGAACAGTGTATTACCTACTGCTGAGCATTTTTCCCTCAGAATGCCCTGCACACGTATCATTCCCTGTCCATTCCTACTGCCAGTTCCTTAATGCAGGGCCTCATTACCTTACATTTGGGTTCTGTTTGCCTCCAGCCTTTCCTCCCTTCATCTTAACCTAAATATTTCTGCTAGACTAATCTTCAGAAGCACCCCTGCACATATTATCCCTTGCCCAGAAATCTCTGAAAGGCTTCTACTGCTTGAAAAAACTAAAAATAAAAAACCTGAATGCCTTAACTGGCATTGAAGGGAGCAGCAAGGCCCAGCTCAAATTCCACCTCCTTCCTAATTCCTCTATCATTAGTCTAGGCTACAGCAGCTCTGTCCAACAAAAACATGATGCAAGCCACAAATGTAATTTAAAATATTTTCACAGCCACAGTGAAAAGTTTTAAAAGTGAAATTAATTTTAATATATTTTATTTAACTCAATATACCCAAAATATAGTCATTTCAACATGTAATCATTATTAAAAAATAATTGACATATTTTATTTTCTTTTTTCATCCTAAGTCTTCAAAATCCACTGCGTATTTTATATTTACAGCACATCTCAATTTGATCTAACCACAATTTCAAGTGCTCAACTGCTACATGTAGCTTGTGGCTACTGTAATAGCACTGGTCTAGACTCTTAAAATTGATGCTTTGGACCGTAGAACATTATCCTCTGCCACTCCTAAAGTGCAGGTTGGCACCACTCTATATTTGTTGGCACCACTCTATATTTATGTACATGTCGTCGGCTTGATTTTAATGGAATCACCAACCATTTAGTTTCCAGACTAAAAACTCTGGAGTCACCCTCTTACCACCAAATTGGCTGCCCCCAGTTGAACCCTATTTGACATTTCAGACATGTCTCTCTGACATCCTTTACTATCCTACCTCAGTTTAGGCACTCATTGCCTTACCTGAATGATTGCCATTTCCTCTCATCTAGTTTTCCTGTTCCAAGTTGACCCTCCACACAGCTGTCAGAGACCATCCTAAAATATACTCATGCCCCTACCTTGTGCAAAGTATTCACTGGCTTCCTGCTAACTAATGAATTAAATCTGAACTTCTTAGTTGGAAATCAATGTCCTTCACAAGTTGATCTCAACTTTCCTCTTGCTTCACCAACCACCCCTGCACTGCATGCTCAAGCACATATATTTTCCCACTCTCCCTAAGTACACCAAACTTCTCAAGTCCCTGCATCCCTGTACTGCATCCAGGAATGACCTTCTCCTGAGCCTAGTAAATTCCTTTAGACCCTTCATGACCCACCTCAAATATTTACTCCTTTACAAAGCTTTTTTGGTGTCCTCAGGCCGTTATTTATGTTTACCTAGCACAAAGTAGGCACAAAGAATATTTGTTGAATGTATTGCCAAAGAGTAAAAGTGATCATCTTTGGGCAATACCAAGCATAGTGCTCAAAGCAACATAAATGTGTACTGAAAGATGGAATGAACCCTAACCATACACATTCCTTCACGGCAGTGATTCTGAGCATTACTACTTCATCTCAATGATCTATCGCAGTTACTTGCTCTCTCAATAATGACCTTGCATGTTGACGCCAACTAAGAGGAACTACACAAAATCCAAGGGAAGAACGAAGGAATCTGGGTTGGCTCTCGAGCTCACTAAGCGCGAAAAGTTTCTCCCTGGTCAGTTCGGGGAGGGCAGCAGTTTAGGTTCAAAGGGATTGTAAAATTTAAAAGCAGGGCGGGGGGGGGGACAATTGATAACTCAGATTCCCCTGGGCACAGGGGGCCAGACTTGCCGGGGTTATGGCTAGTCTGACTGCTGTTTGCTGAAGAGCGTGCACAATGCAGTGATGGTGGAAGTGATGGAGAGAGGGAACTGGAGGGCCGAGACGGTTTTAATAAAGCACAGCGACATCTAAAAGGTCTTCGGAGTCGATTAACTAAAAAGGACGCCCACTTTGCGCCCACCGCTTAGTAGCCTCGTGATCTCTCAACCCGAGACGGGAAGACCCCGAGCGAGGAGGCTGAGAACACGGTAGCGACGAGCCAAAGGAGCAAAGCTGGCGTCGGATTAACTCCTCCAGCGCCGAGACTGAAAGGGCGAAGGGAAACAGCAGCAAGGAAGGAAGGAGACCCTGGGAGTGAGCCGTACGGTCTGCTCCAAAAGCCCGGGAGCTTCAGACCCCTGGAGACGCCACTTCTCTTTCCCTCGCTGGGCACTTCTGCCAGGAACGACCAGGACAGTCGCAACCGAAACCCCGGGAGCACGTCCCCAGAGGAGACCCGGTCGGAGTTGGAGCCAGGCTCTCCCGGAGGGCCGAAGACGCCCCCTCCCCCCTCCAAAGGCGCACTTTCTTCCGCCCCCACTTGCCTCGTCAGTCCTCCCCCAACGCCGTCCACTGCCCTGCCCAACCCCTAGTCGAATTCAGGTTCAAGAGTGAGAAAAGCTGACGTTCGCTCAGCACCATCCGTGAAGATCCGCCAACAGAGGCCCCGCAATGGCGGCCGCCATTTTGAAACTGGAGGCGCACGGCTGAGGCGGGGAAGACCCAGGGTGATACCATCTTCGAGGGGGGGTGGGGCCAAAGCTGTAGCAAGGAGATGGCGCTTACACCAACCAGTCTCGTTCTCTGGGACTGAAATTTTATCTTTAAGTAATTTATAATGTGTAAAAGCTAAAATAATGTGAGAAATATCAAACATGAAAAGGAAGAAGAGGGATGATTTCCCGTGCCGCCCCTCTCTTCGAGCGGGCGCGGCGAATGGTAGGTCCCGAGGCCGCAGCTTCCGCCGGCGCCGGTGGCTGGGTCGCCGCTACCCTAGGTCGTGGGGTCGTTGTTGGCACCGAGGCCGCAGGTGGGTTTGGGGTCGCAGGTTGTGCAGACGGGGAGGGTGCGTCTCCAGGAAAGCCCTCGGTGTGTGTATGGGAGGGGGTCCGGGCCTCCCCAGGGCTGGAGCGGCCCAGGGCTTCCTGAGGCTTCCAGCGGAGGAGACGGGGAAAGGAAAGAAAAATAGGGGTTTCTTTATGGTGGGCGGCTGGACTCTCGTTTCCGCCTGGCTGCTTTTGGAAAGAGTACTCTGAGGATGTCATAACCGGAAAACTTCTTTAGCGATCACCTGGTGACCGCCCCTTGGGCGGACCGGAGAGGAAACCGGCCGGCCTCCCGCTCCTAGGCTGAAGCAGGGAAAGGGCTGCCTCTCCGCGATCATCTCTGCTTCTTCCAAGTTGCAGCACTCTGTCTTCCTCGTTACTCAGACATGGAAGCTAACTTCGCTCTCCTCTAAATCTCAAACCCTCTTGAGCCGACCACTCCACAAAATATGCACTTTTTAAGAACGTAATTAAAAGAAAAAAGTAATATTAATTTGTGCATGGTTTGTAAAGTGTGTATGTCGTTAAGAAAGAATTCCAGACCTCAAGCAATTCAGTTTCTTCATACATCCAGCACTGTTCTTTAATAGGTTAAATCGACACTTTTTGATCAATACATATAAAGTGCTGTGGGGACCAGATACAGAGTAGAATTTATTTTTTTAATGTCTAATCATCTATATTTTTCCAACATGCATTAAGAGGGCCTTACAAAAATACACACCAGATACAGTTTTCTTTTTAGAAGTGGGGAAAAAAATGAGTTGAAGAAAAAGTAATGTTAGGAAAAATAAGATAAAGCCAAGAGTGAGGTTAATATAAATGTTTACCTCTATACTTGCTGAAAGAGACAGTCAAGCACAAATAAAGAGCTTGGCCCAGGAGCCAGACTGCCCAAGTATTAATCCCAGAGCTGCCACTTACTGCATCTGTGACCTAAAGCAAGTTGATTGGCCCTGGATTTCTTCATCTGAAAAAAATATGCCTACTGCATTGAGGACGTTGTATTAGTTAATACATGTATAGTAATGTGAGGATTACATGAGTTTGGTGATTATGAAAAGCAGTAGGAACCATGCCTGACAGAGAGTGCTCTAAGAGTCAGCTCTTTCTAGAGGTAGGGGAAAAAATTTGGATCATTTTGGTATCAAAGGATACATGATCAGTTATGTTATTCCTTGAGTCTAGAAGATAACAACTAGTTAGTTGTTTTTTTTTTCCCCCCTCGGATACCATGGCTACTCCCAGTTCTGAAGTAAAAGCAAAATTTTTCTTGAGAGTCTTCCTAAGGGGAAGACACTAATAATATGTACAGTGCCCTCATGGGCACCCATGTGGCTATCACTCTTCATCCAAACTTGTCTTGTAGGAGCCTGTCCCAGGTCCTCGCTGTCCTTTGCCCATCATTTAAAACTCCCGTATAGTCTTGGGCCCTCGACCAAGAACCTGAGGGCCTGTCTATGCTCCCCCTCTTATCCATTCTCCAGAGATTGATTCTAGCTCAGTTCTTTTGTCCATAAATCTTTTTCCTCCGTGGTCATCCACTTGCAGTGAAATACACTGGACAAATTATGTTCAGTGCCACTGCTCCCAAAGCCCATCAAATAGTAGATTGCACAGTTGTACTATGAAATGTCTCTGGGCCTAAGATTAGTCATTTACCTCTTAGGGATGGAATTACGCTGTCATCATGGTGCTTGAATCCAACTCTGGGTTCTTTTTTTTCTTTTAGATTTTTATTTATTTTTCCCCCCAAAGCCCCAGTAGATAGTTGTATGTCATAGTTGCACATCCTCCTAGTTGCTGTATGTGGGACGCGGCCTCAGCATGGCCGGAGAAGCAGTGCGTCGGTGCGCGCCCGGGATCCGAACCCGGGCCGCCAGCAGTGGAGCGTGCGCACTTAACTGCTAAGCCGTGGAGCCGGCCCCAACTCTGGGTTCTGAATGTACAGAACTCTTATCTATCAGTCCCACTGTATTTACCCTGGAGTCTCTTTAAGAGCCTTTATGCAGCAAGAGCCTTAGGGGCTTGTCTCATCTCTTCTACTACCCAGAGTAGAGCCAGACAAAATTAGCGTCTGGTCCTGTTGGAAGAATGCCAACAGTAATGGTTTATAGCCCACAGGTGGCCATAGTCTTATTTAAAATAGTTTTGGGGGCCAGCCCAGGTGGCCTAGTGGTTAGGATCGGTGCACTCTGCTTTGGTGACCTGGGTTTGGTTCCTGGGCGAGGACCTACACCACTCATCGGCAGCTCACATACGAAATAGAGGAAGATTGGCAACAAATGTTAGCTCAGGGTAAATTTTTCTCAGCAAAAAAAAATGTATAATAATTGGGCTGAGAGCAAGTACCTTTTTGTTGTTAAATACAAACAGTTTCTAACAGCTATGCTGAGGGTTAGGATTGTCACCTCTTAAGAAATATGAGGAACCTAATAAGGACAGGTGGCAGAATAGATGACCACTGCATTTCTACAGAGACCTATATTGTCTAGTATTTTGCAGTTTAGTGCTATCAAAATTACATTATCTTATTTGATTAAGGCATTGTTATTCCCATACTTGACTGGCTCAAGTTTAGCAAAACAAGTAAGTGGCTAGGTTGGTGGGCACTTGGTCAGAATCACAAAAAGTACTTAAGTGTTTATTAAAAAGAACTTAAGGATCTAAATGCAAATGTCACTTAAGGAAAGCACAATGCTAAGAGAACCACCATCTTCTAGGAAAGAAGGTAAGATTGGTTAATGTTTACATTTATATGTCCAAGAATGATTTGCATCAGATCAACTGGGGAGTTCTTTAAACTACAGATTTTTCCAGCACCCCCCCAAGAGGGAGGGCTAAGGAGTCCCTATTTTGAAAAGGGCTCCCCGATTGATTTTTTGTGTGTGCGTGTGTGAGGAAGATCAGCCCTGAGCTAACATCCGTGCTAATCCTCTTTTTGCTGAGGAAGACCGGCTCTGAGCTAACATCTATTGCAAATCCTCCTCCTTTTTGTTCCCCAAAGCTCCAGTAGATAGTTGTATGTCATAGTTGCACATCCCTCTAGTTGCTGTATGTGGGACGTGGCCTCAGCATGGCCGGACAAGCGGTGCGTTGGTGCGTGCCCGGGATCCGAATGCGGGCCGCCAGTAGTGGAGCGCGCTCACTTAACCGCTAAGCCATGGGGCCGGCCCTTCCCAAGTGATTTTAATGTGTGTTCAAGTTTCAGAATTCCAGCCATAGACAATAGACTAAAACTTAAAACTTATTGATGACTAAATTATAAATTATATATTTTAAACATCTTATTTACTTACTTTGTAATTTGCTGAATCAGTAATATTCAGACTGGAACCTGCTGTGTGTAATACTATACTTTATGAAATACAGTATATAGTAATGGTGCAATTTTTAACTTCATGGCCATTTCCTAACCCAGTGCCTTTAGACAGTGAGTGAGTGATTCAAGTTTGAGAAATAGAGAATTAGAATGTGTGAGCATTGGAACCAGTGTCTTAGAAAGAGAGGCAGGAATCCAGTGTACATAATCCTAGCATGGTTCAGTGCTAAGCACTTTTGTTGGCAGTAATGTATTCTCTTCTTAGAGTGTTTAGAGAAGTGTCATGCGTCTTCTTAGCCATTGTATCTGATTTATTCATTTTAGATTCATGTGCACACATGATGTATTTTGATTTCATCTTTAGGTACAAATTTTTATAGAAAATTGACAATTCAACTATGTTTTTATTGAATTAGTGCAAATTTATTTTCCCTATGATGACTTGTAGTTCTTCTATTCCCCCTCCTCTGCCTTTTGGAAACTCTTAGAACTTAAAAGCTGTTAAGTACCAAAAGTATCAATTCAGGGAGTGGTCTCTTAGAGAAGCATTGTGATAGGTATAATAGAAAGATCCAGAGCTTTGGAGCAAACCTGAGTTTGAATTCCAGCTCTGCACTTAATACAGTCATGTGCTGCATAATGACGTTTCCATCAACAACGGAGCACATATTCTATGGTGGTCCCATAAGATAATAATGGAGCTGAAAAATTCCTATCACTTAGTGCATCTGGAAGAAGACACTCAAGAGGTGCATCCATGACTTCAAAGGATTTGCCAAGGATGAAGAGGTTGCAAAAATCAAGTAGGCTGTGGTTGAGATGGCAAACAACTTCAACCTGGCTGTGGATGAGGATGACATTGAGGAGCTCCTAGAGGTGGTTCCTGAGGAATTGACTAATGAGGAGTTGTGGGAACTGGAACGCATAGATGAAGAAGAGGCAAGAGAAAAGGAAACTGCAGGAGAAGAAAAAGAACTCCCAAGAAAATTCACGTTGAAGGGTTTATCAGAAGCTTTTGCAGATCTCAACAAGCTCCTTAAAAACTTTGAAAACATGGACCCCAACACTAAAAGATTTTCGTTAATAGGGAGGAATGTTCATGGTGCATTATCTGCTTTCAAGCAAATCTGTGATGGAAAAAACAAACAAACCAAGCAAACCACCATGGACAATTTCTGAAAAGAGTGACACCTCAAGAAGAGCCTGAGGCAGGTCCTTCAGGAGGCGTTCCAGAAGAAGGCATTGTTATCATAGGAGACGACAGCTCCATGGGTGTTATTGCCCCTGAAGACCTTCCAGTGGGACAAGATGTGGAGGCGGAAGACAGTGATCTTGATGATCCTGACCCTGTGTAGGCCTAGGCTAATGTGTGTATTTGTGTCTTAGTTTTTGTGTGTGTGTGTGTGTGTGTGTGTGAGGAAGATCAGCCCTGAGCTAACATCCTTGCTAATCCTCCTCTTTTTGCTGAGGAAGACCGGCTCTGAGCTAACATCTATTGCCAATCCTCCTCCTTTTTTTTCTTCCCCAAAGCCCCAGTAGATAGTTATATGTCATAGCTGCACATCCTTCTAGTTGCTGTATGTGGGACGTGGCCTCAGCATGGCCAGAGAAGCGGTGCGTCGGTGCACGCCTGGGATCCGAACCCAGGCCGTCAGTAGCAGAGTGCCCGCACTTAACCACTAAACCACAGGGCCAGCCCTTGTGTCTTAGTTTTTAACAAAAAAGTTTAAAAAGTAAAAAAAAAAAAAGAAATTAATAGAAAAAAGCTTATATAGTAAGGACATAAAGAAAGAAAATATTTTTGTACAGCTGTACAATGTGTGCTTTAAGCTAAGTGTTATTACAAAAGGGTCAAAAAAGTTTAAAAAGAGGCCAGCCCGGTGGCATAGTGGTTAAGGGCACGCGTTCCGCTGCGGCGGCCCGGGGTTTGCAGGTTCAGATCCTGGGCGTGCACCAACGCATCACTCGTCAAGCCATGCTATTGGCAGCATCCCATATAAAGTAGAGGAAGATGGGCATGGATGTTAGCTCAGGTCCAGTCTTCCTCAGCAAAAAGGAGGCAGATTGGCATCAAATGTTAGCTCAGGGCTAATCTTCCTCACAAAAAATAAATAAATAAATAAGAAGTAAAATGCCTTTAAAAAAAAAAGTTTTAAAAAATTTAAGGGGCTGGCCTGGTGGCACAAGAGGTTAAGTGTGTGTGCTCCGCTGCAGCGGCCTGGGGTTCCCCGGTTCGGATCCCGGGCGTGCACCATCGCACCTCTTGTCAAGCCATGCTGTGGCGGCGTCCCATACAGAGTGGAGGAAGTTGGGCATGGATGTTAGCCCAGGGCCAGTCTTCCTCAGCAAAAAAAGAGGAAGATTGGCAAATGTTAGCACAGGGCTGACCTTCCTCACAAAAAAAATTAAAAAAAAAATTCTTTAAGTTTATAAAGTAAAAATGTTTTGGTAAGCTAAGGTTAATTTATTATTGAAGAAAGAAGAGTTTTTTAAATAAATTTAGTGCAGGGGGCCAGCCCGGTGGCGCAAGCAGTTGAGTGCATGTGCTCCACTGTGGCGGCCCGGGGTTCGCCCATTCAGATCCTGGGCGCGCACCAATGCACTGCTTGTTGAGCCATGCTGTGGCGGAGTCCCATATGAAGTGGAGGAAGACGGGCATGGATGTTAGCACAGGGCCAGTCTTCCTCAGCAAAAAGAGGAGGATTGGCAGATGTTACCTCAGGGCCCATCTTCCTCACAAAAAAATAAAAATATAAATTTAGTGCAGCCTAAGTATACAGTGTTTATAAAGTCTACAGTAGTGTACAGTAATGTCCTGGGCCTTCACACTCACTCCCCACTCACTCACTCACTCAGCAACTTCCAGTCTTTCGAGCTCCCTTCATGGTAAGTGTCCTATTCAGGTGTAACATTTTTTATCTTTTATACTATTTTTAGTGTACCTTTTCTATGTTTAGATACATTTAGATACACAATACTTATCATTGTGTTACAGTTATTTACAGTAGTCAGTACAGTAACATGCTGTACAAGTGTGTAGCCTAGGAGCAATAGGCTATACCATACCGCCTGGGTGTGTGGTGGGCTATACCATCTAGGTGTGTGTGAGCACACTCTATGATGTTAGCACAGTGGTGAAATCGGCTAATGAGACATTTCTATATCCCCATCATTAAGCAACATATTACTGTACATCTGGCGAAATAGTATTATTATATTTGTTTTAGCATTGTGAGAGGTTCTAAAAACATTTTGCACATGCAAAAGTTTTAAATCAATACTAGGAGGGTGCAAATTCTCAGCTTTTGCTGGCATAATTTTTATGTTCTCTCCATTCCTCTGCACTGTGTCATCAAATCACTAGTGGAGCTAGAAATAAAAGTAAATAAATTGACTTTAGTGCAGTGTAATTTTTATACTAATCATTGTCACCTATATAATCTTCATCAAGTATATTTTAAGTAGGAAACTACATTCTGATGCCAAGCAAATTTAAAGATGCTTATTATGGTTTTTGTGTGTGTGGTTTTTTTTTTTGGTGAGGAAGATTAGCCCTGAGCTAACATCTGTTGCCAGTCCTCCTCTTTTTGCTGAGGTAGATTGGCCCTGGGCTAACGTCCATGCCCATCTTGCTCTACTTTATATGTGGGACGCCTGCCACAGCATGGCTTGATAAGCAGTGCCTAGGTCCGTGCCTGGGATCCGAACCCCCGAACCCCAGGCTGCCGAAGCAGAGTGCGCAAACATAACCACTACACCACCAGGCCGGCCCCAAAGATGCTCATTATGCTTTTAACATCTTTCTCCTATATCCAGGGCTATCTTCCTGTTTTAGTTGCAATTTAAAAGATATTTCAAAGGCAGTTATATTTCTGATAATCTTTTTTTGTTTTTTAGCATTCATGATGAACTTAATTCAGATTGTGCGTGACCACTGGGTACATGTACTTGTCCCTGTGGGATTTGTCCTTGGATGTTATCTAGACAGAAAGAATGATGAAAAGCTAACTGCCTTCCGGAACAAGAGTGTGTTATATAAAAGGTTAGTTCGTGTGTTTTTTTAAACCAGCAATTGGCCAGCTTTTGGAAGTATTCCTCTCAATATCACATATGCCAAAAATAAACAGAAGGGGTAATATCCCCCCCTTCCCCTCGAGGACTTAGATTCTAAGTGATATTATTTTGTAGTCTTGTTTGTTGTTTAATCCTTGGATAAACCGTATGACTATCTTTGGAATGTAAGTAAGTCTTCAGTTTATGAACAGGCTATTTCAGATCTTTGAAAGTCCCCTTTTTTGGGAATTCAGGGTACATTTTAATATAGAAACAACGTTTTAAACCAGCTCACCAAAGCCTACTCTCTATACAACTTTCCCATATATTATCATACACTGTCTTACTTGAGCCATGATGCAGCTGAAATAAATGGTACACAGCTTAGTACTGTGTTCTCAGCAAAATGCTTGAGAGCTGTAGACATGGTGGTTGAGTGATCAAAAGGAAACTGGTAGCTGCTTGGTCCCCTTGTGTCTCCGTAGATGGCTCCTCTGATAGGAGAGAAAGTTAGAAGACAGGGTGTCCTCACTGGGTGTGCAGCTGCGTAGGAGGAAACTCAAGGGATGAGAGAGCAGCAGCCACAGCCTATATAGAGGAGGTTCACAGTCAAGGATTGCAAGAAAGATAAAATGAGCTGGAAGGGGTCTAGAAAACATCAAATGAATTCGTTGAGAGGATAATAGTTTTCATACAAAAACACACTAAGAAATTACGGTTCTTTAATCTGGAAAAATGTAATTAAAGAGATGGTAAAAGTTTAAAATCATCAGAGAATAGAATGAATCTGATATAAAATTTTTAAAATGGGTCAATTTAATAGAATATAAAATATTGAATTCATATTATTTGGGCTTTCCCTTTTATCTCCTCAGAAAAGTTTTATTTACACTTTTTCCCTTCCTTCTTTCTTTCTTTCCACACAGGGAATTGAGAACCAATGAAGATGTCACCTGGAAGTAAAGGCTGTGGCTAAATTACAGCATGTTCACATTTTTAAAATTATGAGAGAAATAAAAACACATTCATTATTTAATTTGAAGAATTTGAAGTGTGATTCTTTTTATGCTGAAGTAATCTAACCTTTCAAGTAACAGGCACACTTAGCTTAGAAAATAATTACTGAGTGCCTGATTGTGTACATCAATGTTACATTTACAATTAGCATTTACTTTTGTTTCTCATTCTACATCATAGTAAAATTATTATAAATTTAAAGTTAAATTAAAATTATTATAAAATTAGTATTAAAAATTATTAAATCATACAGCCAATTTTTTCCTCAGATATTTTTCAGAAAAGTTTTTTCAAACCATGTGCTTCAAAGGAGCTTTAAAACAATTCTAGGATCTTATTTGGTAAAAATCACATAGCTGAAAATTCTAGTGATCTTGCGTTTGGCGAGATTTCTTAAATACAACACACAAAGCTTGAACTAGTTTTAAAAATCAAGAGGGGTCGGCCCCGTGGCTTAGCGGTTGAGTGCGCGCACTCCGCTGCTGGCGGCCCGGGTTCGGATCCCAGGCGCGCACCGACGCACCGCTTCTCTGTCCACGCTGAGGCCGCATCCCACATATGGCAGCTAGAGGGATGGGCAGCTGTGATATACAACTATCTACTGGGGCTTTGGGCGGAAAAATAAATAAAATTAAAAATCAAGAGATTGTACTTTATTGAAATTAAAAACTTTTGCTCTTAAAGAAACAGTGTTAAAATGAAAATACAGCCACAGACTGGGAGAAAATATTCGTAAAACATACACAAAAAAGAACATATCTAGAATATGTAAAGAATTCTTATAACTGATAAGACAATCCAGTTTTTAAAATGAGCAAAAGATTTTAACAGACACTTCAAAAAAGGTGAGTTTGGCAAATAAGCACATGAAAAGATGTTCAACATCAGTAATCACTATGGAAATGCAAATTAAAACCACAATGAGATACCACTACACACCTACTAGAAAGATTAAAATTGAAAAGACTGATCTTACCAAGTGTTGGCAAGGGCATAGAACAACTGGAACTCACACACTGCTGGCAGGAATGTAAAATGTACCACTTCGAAATGAATTTAGCAGTTTCAGGTTAAAGATACAACTACCATATGACCCAGCCATCCCACTCTGAGAGAAATGAAAGCATAGGTCCACACAGACTTCTACATAGATGTTCATAGCAGCTTTATTTGTAATAGCCAAAAATTAGAGATAACCCAAATGGCCATCAACAAACGAATGGATAAATTGTGTTAAATCCATATGATGAAATACTACTCAACAATGAAAAGGAATATCTATTGATGCACCATAGGTGAATTTCAGATAAAGAACACACTGTATGATTCCATTTATATGAAATGTTAGAAACTGCAAACTAAACAGAGCAGATCAGTGGCTGCCTGGGGGAGCAGGGTCCAGAAAGAGCTTGGAGGGAAGATTACAAAGGCTCATGAAGAAAGGGGATAGTGTGCTCATTTTGTTGATTGTGGTGATGGTTTCACAGGTGTATACATATGTCGTCTGTTATAGTCAACTGCCTCTTGGAAAACAAGTTTTATTAATTTGTTTTAGTTAAGATTAAATTTAGAAGAAGCAAAATTGCAATGAAATGATACTCCCTGATTATCACTGATCTTGTCAGAACTCAGGACACTGAAACTGACACATTATAAATTTTAAAATGTCAAACGTTTGAAACTATGTTAAGCTATTTGGCTTTGGGTAACAAAATTAATGCCAGTTTAAGTTTAAAAAGTACAGTGTTCAAGAAGATAGAAATATCTTTGTACAGTCTCCCTTCTTAACATAAAATTTCAATAAAGTGGATTAAAGTTGAGTTGTCCAAGGTGACATAGGAAGTCTATGGGAAATGCATCTATTTGGTCTACTCTGTCTCCAGGAACTCGTTCCTGATTAGCCCAGTGACCTCTCTCTCTCACTGAATTATTGTAATACTTTTTTGTGTCAATCTGTCAAAAAGAATTCACGCATTTATTCACTGCTCTGTACCAACCCTTGATATAAAGAGAAAGACTTCTGAGCCTCAAAAGCTGGTAGTCTAGTAGCATATAAAGTAATAACTCTTGGTATGGTGTAATAAATGCTTTAATATAGGCATGTGCAAGGTATAGTGGTGGCACAAAGGACTTTTCCTCAGAGAACTTTCTGGAAGTCAAGGGAAGCAGCTGGTGTGACCAGAGTCTGGTGCAACTGGAGCAGAGAACATTTGGGGAGATAAAAGCCAGACAGGTGGTTGGTGCAGATCACGAAGAGCTTTTTAAGCCAGCAATGGGAAGCCGCTGAAGGATTTTAGATAGAATACGATTTGTGTAAAGACCCCTCCCAACATAAGCTCCATGAAGATGGGACTGTGTCTCTTTCACGGTTATAGTCTCAGTATCTGGTACATAGTAACACTTCATTTGTTAATTGAAAGACAAAGGGGCAAGACTTGCACATTTGAAAGATCACTCTCAGCACTATGAATCAAACATATTGAGACTGGAATCAGAAGACCAGTTCAGAGATCCTTGGGCTGGCCTACACAAGAGACCAAGAGAGCTTGAACGAAGCAGCAGCAATGAAGAAAGAGGGGAGAGAGAAGAGTGAATACACAGCCTCTGAGGACTGACTGGAACAAGGGGTGAGGCAGAAGAATGCGAGGGAAAGAATCAAGAATGATTCCCAGACACCTGGCTTCATTAATTCATTTGAAAGACATCAACTACTAGAAATATGAAGTCAAATAATACATGGCCCCTGCCATCAAGATATTTATGGGGTATTGGTGAAGATATATGATTAAACCAACTATTATGATACTTTGTAAAAGATACCATGTATGATAGAGGCACATACAGGAGCTCAGAGGAGAGACAAGGACTTCTAACTTAGTTGGAGTTCAGGGAACACTTCCCAGAACGTATGGCTATTGAGTTTTGAAGGACGATACAGGTTATCTTACAAAGGTAAAGTTGAGAATGTGCTGAATTCAAGTGGAGGTATCGGAATAGGGAATGCAATAAATCTAAGACCCAAATCATACATGGCTTCAGAGGCAAAGCCAAAACCAGGACTTAGAGCATTGATCGTTTCACTTTATGATGCTTGTTATTAATCACATGCTCAACAGGAAGGCCTAATGAAATGATTAGTACAAATTCAATATTACTAAATATTGCCAGGCACTATTCTAGGTACTAAGAATTTAACAGTGAACAAAACAATAAGGTCCTTTGGCATAGTTTACATCCTACTAAGCAATTAGTCACTGTAGACAGTTGAATCATGTCCTTCCAAAATTCAAGTCCATCCAGAGCCAAAGACCTTATTTGGAAATCAGGTTTTTGCCAATGTAATTAGCTAAGTATCTCAAAATGAAATCACCCTGGATTAGGGTGGGACCTAAATCTAATGACTGGTGTCTTATAAAAGGAGAGGACACAGAGAGACACAAAAGGAAGAATGCCATGTAAAGACAGAGACAGAGATTGGAGTAATGCTGTCACAAGCTAAGGAACACCAGGGGCCACCAGAAGCGGGAAGAAGCAAGGAAGGATTCTCCCCTAGAAACTCTGAAGGGAGCGTGGTCCTGCTGATGTGTTGGTTTCAGACTTCTCACCTCAAGAATGGTGAGAGAATAAATTTCTGTTGTTTTCAGGCACCAAATTCATGGTAATTGGGTACAGCAGCCCTAGGAAATAAAATACAATCATGTATTTTTTTCTGAATAAGTAATACATTAATATAGTTAAAAAGTAAAAAATAAAAATGTATACAGTGAAAAGTCTCCCTCCCACCCTGTCTCCTATTTGCCTAGTTCCCTTCTCATCTCAAACATTAAACCTCTGGGTTTCCTGTATATTCTTCCAGAGATTTATAATGTGTATACACAAAAAAATAAATACATGTTTCTCTGATGGACACATAATTTCTTTTTCAAAAAATCAAAAAACCTCATTTGCATATTTTTTCACTTCATGAACCATGATTTATTTCCCTAGTTAGGCCACAATTCCTTAAGAACACGGACTATTTCCCCAATACAGGACTGTGGACTGTGCACGCAGAGATGTTCAATATATGGTAACCAGTAACCAAATCCTCCCCTTGTGCACCTGGTCCTCAATAGCAGTCTCCATTTCCTTACTCCTTCTGCCCCTTCTGTTCCTCTGAACTGCACTCACCAAAGTCACCAATGGTTTCCATAGCAACACAATTTAGTGGACTCCTGTAAGTCTTTTTGTTGCTGGACCTCTTGGCAGCAACTGACACTGACTGCTCCTTGAAACATTCCCTTCTCAGGACTTCCATAGTACTACACTCTCCTGCTTTCCTCCTCTCTCCTTGGCTATTCCTTCTCTACCCTCAGGGATCTGCTCCAGATGCTCTACTCAATCTCTTCTTTTTCCCCCAAGATGACTTTATCCACTCCTGTGGTTTCAGTTACCATTTTTATGCCAACAATTCCCCATTCTATAGCCAAACCACCCTCCTGAACTCTAGACTATTACTCAACATATAAGTATCTCCAACCACTACTCAACATAATTACAGGAATGTCTCATGGATATTTCAAATTCCACATCTCCAACATGTAAACTCTTTGTCGTCTTCTTTTCCCCAAACCTTGCCCCTCCTATGCTTTTGCCATAGAGGCTGCCGAGGGCAGAAACTAACACTTCTGCCTCCCTCACTCCCCACTCTCTCACCAGGTTCTGTTGAGTCTCCCTACTTCCTAATTATCTCTCAAAATGGTCTTCTCTCTCCATCTCCAAGTCACTACCCTAGTCCAAACACCATCATCTCTCCCAAGATTCCTTTGACAGCAATGGCTCTCTTCTGTGGCCAGAGTGATCTTTTAAAAATGCAAATCTGAGCATGTCTCTTTCCTTTTACAAACTTTATATAGCCCCCCACTGCCTTTAAAATGCACACCTTCCTTGGGGGCTAGCCCGGTGGCATAGTGGTTAAGTTTTCACACTCTGCTTCAGCAGCCGGGGTTTGGAGGTTTGGATCCTGGGTGCACACCTACACACCACTCATCAAGCCATGCTGTGGTGGTGTCCCACATACAAAATACAGGAGGATGGGCACAGATGCTAGCTCGGGGCCAATCTTCCTCAGCAAAAAAAAAAAAAAAAGGCACAGGGCCAACCCAGGGGCACAAGTGGTTAAGTGCACATGCTCCACTGCTGCAGCCTGGGATTCACGGGTTCGGATCCCAGGCACACACCGATGCACTGCTTATTAAGCCATGCTGTGGCAGTGTCCCATATAAAGTGGAAGAAGATAGGCTTGGATGTTAGCCCAGGGCCAGTCTTCCTCAGCAAAAAAGAAGGGGATTGGCATGGGCTGTTAGCTCAGGGCTGGTCTTCCTCACACACACACAAAAAAGCACACCTTCCTTAACCTGGTTTCAAAATGCAAGATCTGCTCCTATCCTACTCCTTCAGCTTCCCCCCACCACTTGACTGGACTTTTCACCACCCTCAACTGATGCTTCCTCTTCAGAGACAGAACACTTACACTAGTAACAAGATATCTGGACTCATTTGACCTTGGACATAGTGCTGTTCTTAACTTCTCTGTGCCTCAGTTTCCTCTTGTGTAAAATAGGGATAATAATGCCTACATCAAAGATTGCTGTATTAAATTCATTAATATATGCAAAGCACTTACAAGAGTGCCTACCCTACAGTAAGCCCTATATAAATATTAATACCATTTTTACACAAGTGCTTGGTATTGGGGGATGCCATGAGACTTTCAGTGGGGGAGGAAGAGGAAGATATTAAATAATTATATGCAAACATCATAAATAGAAAGTATAAAGTAGAAAACAAAAAGAACATAGAACCCCAGTCGTCCTTATCCAGACCCCCAGAAGCCTAAGAATCCATAGCCATAGGTGGGAAGCGAGCCTCCACACGGCAGGCGGCACTACAGCATCCCCCAGCCGCTGCATCTCAGAAGAAGGGAGGACGCGCTACAAAGATCACGTGCCCGGCGTTTATAGCCCCAGCCTTCACTGGCTCTTCGCTCCACGTGACTCGCATCCTCGGGGGTGATTGGTCTGCGCGGGGCACGTGGGCAGGGCGGCCGGAGGCGGGGCGGAGCGGGGGCAGAGGGGTGGGGCCGGGGGGCGGAGCTGGAGGGGGTGGTCCGGCGCGGGGGCCGTTGGCTCCAGACAAATAAACATGGAGTCCATCTTCCACGAGAAAGTGAGTGTCCGCGTTGGGTGGGGAGCTGTGTGCGGCGAGGTGGCGGCGAGGGGCGCGGTATCGCCGCCTCCCGGAGAGCTGGGTGGGGCCCGAGTCGCCCCCATCCCGATCTCGCCGGGCGAGAGGAGCTTCACCGATGCCCCCACTGCACCCTCCGCTCGTGAGGCCGGGGCCCGAGATGCTCCAGGAGCCGGGGCCCGGGATGTCCGGGGAGCGGGCAGGGAGTGAGGGCAGGGCCGAGGGCTCGTCCGAGGGGGTGGCACCGAGTGGGCTAGCATCTGCGCTTCCTCTGCACTTTCCGTGGGATTCCTTCTCCAGTCCCTTGTCCCCCACTCGCCCTAGGTTCTAGCTACTCACCTCTGGGACACCTCCCTCGACCCTTCCCAACTCCACCCCACTCCCCACTCCTATCCCTTGGCAGAATTAACTTCCCCTTGTCTGGGCTCCTCAATTCTATATTGGAATCTCCCGTACACTTAGATCTCTGGCGTTGTCTTCATGTCCTTCTCCTGCACTAGATCTATGAGCTTCTGGAGGGCAGAGACCTTGGCTCCTCCCATAGAAGGCCTGACACTTAGGGAAGTGAAGTAGGGAACCCCGTGCGCCCCTAAACAGGGAAGTCGGCACAAGAGTTTTTGTTACGGGATGTTTGGGTTTCATTTCTTTGGCAGTACCGTCTTTAGGGATCAGGAGGCTAGCTCTCTTATTAGGTACTGGGGTGGACTGGAATAATTTTGTTGTGGTCTGCCCAGCCTGTTTTGCTTTGATTCTTCAGTGACCACGCACTTGAAGATACTGTTTGTGGTATGTGGAGAAACTCGTCTTTGTTATATACAATTAGCAAGCCACTTGGGTGTGAGTGAAACCTTCCTCAGGACAACTTTGACACATGATATCTGTCTCATAATAGTTTCACGTTTGGAAAGGGTTGTGGTGAGGCTATTATTTAGTAGGAGCAAAGGGGTTTTGTTAAATACTTGTAAATGATCATTTATTCTTTTAAAATTCACAACCCACGACAATCAAAGAGACAAAAGAGGCATCATATAAATGTAAACAAATTGTTAAATGGAATGCTTTTCTTTACCAAAACGTTTCAGAAAGTTTGGGCACTGAAATAGACTGATTTTTACGTGTGGGGGAGGAAAGATTCGGTAGTCTAGTTATATAATCTTTTGACTTGATTGACGTAATTTATGAATCTTGGACAAGAGAAATTTAGTTGCTTGGCTAAGGAGATTGGATGAAGAGAACCTGGCGTGTACATATTTTTATTACTGACTTTCAAAAGCTTTGGTGTAGGACCAGATGTTTCAACGTGGAAGACTTTGAACATTTTGCACACCACTTCTTGAAAATGATACAATGTATTTTAACAGTATTACTGTTAACCAGTTTGGATAGATTTCACTGAAGGTAACTACTAAACCATGGGATCAAAAGAAGCTGTGCGCTAGTCTAATCAAAATCTACTTAGCTGAAAGTCACTCTCAATTATCAGCATGTGTGTAGGCTTAACGGTATCAGGAATACATTTATCCTTACTATCAATTTATATGTATTCAGCAAATGAAGGATCTTAAAGTTCTGCAGGCATATTTGAAGAGTATGGAAAGCACCTGTAACCATAGGGCCCATTGTTAATCTCCTACACAGTCCATTCTGGGAATGTTGGGGCTTAATATACCATTTCCCAGCGCATTCCCTTCCACTCTGCCACGTACATTTAACCCTTGCTAGGTCCTGGGTTTGGAGAGCCAGGGAACCCTTGGCCCTAAGGAAGCTCTATATGTAGAGATACTTGCCTTCAAAGGGTCTTGCAACCACTTGCTCTTTGAATGTTGCTTTCCCCATTTTTCAGAGTTGCCACTTTGAGTGCCCTTTATTAAGTTAACAGTTGTTCACCGATACATCCCCAGTGCCTGGCACATCATAGGTGCTCAATAAATATTTGAATGAATGAATCAAGAGTTCCTTGAGCATCCATATATATGGTGCTGTTTATCTAAAGTAAACAATTTTTCTGTAAATATTTTAGGCTTTGCAGGTCATCTATGGTCTCACATATTCTTGTTTGTGTTTTTTTCCCCCCAATCATCTAAAAATGTAAAAACTATTCTTACCCACTGGGGCAGGTTGAATTTGGCCCATGGGTTAGAGTTTGCCAACCCTTAACTTAAATCCTGATGCTATATGGCCACCAATTGCTGTTTTTTGGGGAGTGGGTGGATTAGTTCTGGTGCCTGCTTTCTGTCATTTTTGTTATCAGTTCTATTGCTGACTGCTCTTGGTACGGTCACTGTGCCATCTAAATTAGTACTTTTATGTCGTGTGAACTGAGAATGATAACCAAACTTGTTGAGATTATATTTAAAATTAGTGCAAATATTATAAATATGCTGAGCATTGACTTTATGACATTCATTATGTCCCGCTGTGATTGAGGGTTCTTAGCCATCTTTAGGATATTTGAGGTTTAGGAATAACCAAATTCCACCTAAGTGGCTTGAGGAAGTGCTAATAGCCACTTGAAGCCTTTGCCCGGGTTTGAGTCCCAGCTGTACCATTTACCACCTGTATGATCCTGGGCAAATTCCTTATTATCTCTGTGCCCCAGTTTCCTCCTCTGTGGTTTGAGGATAGTCAAGTGTCTGTCTCAGAGTTATGAGTACTTAGGATGCCACCTGGCACATAGTGCTCTAGAAGTGCTGGCCATTGTTATTCAGATGCTTGTGTTGGCTGAACCTCATAATGAGGGGTGGGACTGTATTATCGCTCAGATGAGTTGAAGAAGTGCTGTTAACTTGATTGCATGGCCCGGGTTAGCCCGTTTTTGAGCGTACCCTTAGGTTTGTGCCTGGTTTCTGTTGTAGTCATAGTGTCTCTGGGAATTTGAACAAGTTTTGGGGGAGTCCTGAAGACTTTGGGGAAGGAAGGGGATGATTTGGTTGCAGTTCCCTTTTGTGGTTTTGTAAAATACCGGTAAAACTGGAGATGCATTTTGTTCACCCTTTGATCCCAAGACAATGAAGTCTGGGCCTGAGATCATGGAATTTGAACTTGAATCATGAATCTGAACATGAATCATGAACTTTGAGTATAGCAAAGTGAACTTCTATTCACCTTAAGTTAAAACTTGATGAGAGAGAGGTGCTGGGGCTAGTTTGGGGGTGAGGTAGGAAAATGTATAATCCGAGGCAGGGCCATTGTACAGTTTTTTTGGTCCATGTAGAATTTGATTCATCTTGTGACTTTAAAAAGTGATTTTAAATTTTGGATTGAACAGTTTGTTCTTTCCTTCCATTAAATTATGTTAGAAGTACAGAACTTGATATTATTTCCTATAGCAATGCAGTTTTACTTAAACAAGGTTTGATTTCAAGTGCTTATTTTTCACGTTTTAAAGCTAATTTTGTTTTTTTTCTTTTCTTTTCTTTTCTTTTTGTGAGGAAGATCAGCCCTGAGCTAACATCCATGCTAATCCTTCTCTTTTTGCTGAGGAAGACCGGCTCTGAGCTAACATCTATTGCCAATCCTCCTCCTTTTTTTTTTCCCCCAAAGCCCCAGTAGATAGTTGTATGTCATAGTTGCACGTCCTTCTAGTTGCTGTATGTGGGACGTGGCCTCAGCATGGCCGGAGAAGCGATGCGTCGGTGCGCGCCCGGGATCAGAACCCGGGCTGCCAGCAGCAGAGCAAGCACACTTAACTGTTAAGCCATGGGGCCGGTTCGCTAATTTTTTTTATAGAGAGAATTTTTTAATCAAATATTTGGATGTCACCATTTCTATATATGATATTAAATATAGTGACCATAGTTTGAGAGCCCCAAAATGAGGCATGTAGCCTGACAGCAGGATGGAAAATTTGCATTAGGACTGTTCCCAGAAAATCCGTCGTCTGGTCACCATATTAGGTAGCCATGTGTGTAATAGTGATATCTTAGCAGAGGCTTTCTTATTGTGGGTTGAAATTTTTTTTTTTTTTTTTTTTTGTGAGGAAATCAGCTCTATGCTAACATCTGCCAATCCTCCTCTTTTTTGCTGGGGAAGACTGGCCCTGGGCTAACATCCGTGCCCATTTTCCTCCACTTTATATGGGCCGCCGCCACAGCATGGCTCGCCAAGCAGTGCGTTGGTGTACGCCCGGGATCCGAACCGGCGAACCCTGGGCCGCTGTAGCAGAGCGCACGCACTTAACCGCTTGCGCCACTGGGCTGGCCCCTGAATTTTTTTTTTTTTTTTTTTTTTTTAGTGAGTATAACGCATGTAGGGGCACATAGATCATAAGAATATAGATGAATGCTCACAAAGTGAACACGTATGTGTAAATAATACTTAGCTCAAGTAACAGATATTGACCTACATCCTCTAAGCCCCGCTTGATGCCCTCTTCCGGATACTTATTCTCTCTCCACCTCCGCCTCCACCTCTGCAAGGGGAACCACTCTCCTGAATTCTGACGTCATTGACTAGTTTTCTTGTTTTTGAGCTTTTGTAAATGGAATCATAACAGTGTGTACTCTTTTGAGTCTGTCTTCTTTTGTAACATTGAGAGGGTCACCCATATTGTTGCAGGTAGTTGTAGTTAATTCATTCTCATTGTTATACAATCATGTATTACTTAAAGACTGGGATACGTTCGTCATTGTGTTACTTAAAGACGGGGATACGTTTGTCGTTGTGTGAACGTCGTAGAGCGTACTTACACAAACCTAGATAGTATAGCCTACTACACACCTAGGCTATGTGGTACTAATCTTATGGGACCACCATCATACATGCAGTCTGTTGTTGACCAAAACATCATTATGTGGTGCATGAATGTATAATATTTCTTTGTGAATATAATGCAGTTTATCCATTCTACTGTGATGGTCGTTTGGGTAGTTCCAGTTTGAGGGCCATTAAGAATAATGCTTCTAATCCTAAGAAAAAAGAACAAAGCTGGAGGCATCATATTCCCTGACTTCAAAACATACTACAAAGCAATAGTAATCAAAACAGCATGGTACTGGTACAAAAACAGACACACAGATCAATGGAACAGAATTGAAAGCCCAGAAATAAAACCACACCTATACAGACAGCTAATTTTCAACAAAGGAGTTAGGAACATACAATGGAGAAAGGAAAGTCTCTTCAATAAATGGTGTTGGGAAAACTGGACAGCCACATGCAAAAGAATGAAAGTGGACCATCTGCTATCACCATTCACAAAAATTAACTCAAAATGGATCAAAGACCTGAAGGTGAGAACTGAAACTATAAAACTCATAGAAGAAAATATAGGCAACACACTATGACATTGGTCATAAAGGAATCTTTTCAGATGCCATGTCTACTCAGACTAGGGAAACTAAAGAAAAAATAAGCAAGTGGGACTTTATCAGATTAAAGAGCTTCTACAAGACAAATGAAACCAGAATCAAAATGAACAGACAACCCACCAGCTGGGAGGAAATATTTACTAAACATATATCTGACAAGGGGTTAATCTCCATAATATATAAAGAACTCACACAACTGAACAACAAAACAACAAACAACCCGGTCAAAAAATGGGCAGAAGAAAGACATTTCTCCAGAGAAGATATACAGATGGCCAATAGGCACATGAAAAGATGTTTAACATCACTAATCATCAGGGAAATGCAAATCAAAACAACACTAAGATATCACCTCACACCCATTAGAGTGGCTATAATCACCAAGACAAAAAACAACAAATGTTGGAGAGGATGTGGAGAAACAGGAACCCTCATACACAGCTGGTGGGAATGCAAACTGGTGCAGCCTCTATGGAAAATGGTATGGAGATTCCTCAAAAAATTAAACATAGAAATACCCTATGATCCAGCTATCCCACTACTGGGAATCTATCCAACGAACCTGAAATCAACAATCCAAAGAGGCTTATGCACCCCTATGTTCACTGCAGCATTATTCACTATAGCCAAGAAGTGGAAGCAACCCAAGTGTCCCTCAACTGATGATTGGATCAAGAAGATGTGGTATATATATATAATGGACTACTACTCAGCCATAAAAAAAGACAAAATTGTCCCATGTGCAACAACTTGGATGGACCTGGAGGATATTATGTTAAGTGAAATGAGGCAGAAAGAGAAAGACAAACACTGTATGATCTCACTCATATGTGGAATACAAACCAACACATGGACAGAGAAAACTGTATTGTGGTTACCAGGGGCAATGGGGGAGGGGGGAGCACAAGGGGTGAAGGGAGACATGTATATGGTGATGGACAAACAAATGTACAACCAAAAATTTCACAATGTTATAAACTATTAAAACATCAATAATAAAAAAAAATGCTTCTAGGGGCCCGGCCCCGGGGCCTAGTGGTTAAGTTCAGCATGTTCCTCTACAGCAGCCCAGGTTTGGATCCTGGGCACAGACCTACACCACTCATTGGCGGCCATGCTGTGGCGGTGACCCACATACAAAACGGAGGAAGATTGGCACAGATGTTAGCTCAGGGCTAATCTTCCTCAAGCAAAAAGAGGAAGATTAGTAACAGATGTTAGCTCAGAGCAACTCTTTCTCAGCAAAAAAGAAAAAAATTACCTGTAGAACAAAAATATATCCCATAGAAAGAAGGAAGAACCTAATAAAGAAAAAATTTAAAGAAAAAAGAATAATGCTTCTATGAACGTTCTTATACATGTCTTTTGATGAACGTATGTTTGCATTTCTTTTGTTTGCCTTGTGTACCTAGTGGTGGAATTGCTAGATCATAGGGTATATATATGTTAAGCTTCAGTAGATATTCCAAATAGTTTTCCAAAGTGGTTATACTAATTTATACTTCCACCAGCAGTAAATAATTGTTGTGATGTCTCTAATCCTCTCCAGCATTTTAGCCATTCTGGAGAGTGTGTAGTGGTCACACATAGTTTGAATGTACGTTTCCCTGATGGCTAAATGAGGTTGACCACCTTTTTCTGTTTTTTAGCCATTTGGGAGCCTACTTGTTTGTCTTGTCCATTTTTCACTAGGGTATAGGTGGGACATCTTTGTATCCCTTCAGTTCACATTGTAGTGTTCAGTGGGAGTTGCTCTCCAGCAGTAGGAATATAGTAGAAGGAAAAAGAGGTGGAGACCAATCCTCTCTCAGCACTGTAGCTGTGACTTGAGGGATAGAGAGTATCTTCTTTGCTTCCAAGCTGCTTGTTCCACACCAAGATTTCAAGATAAACTTATTTCGGCCACCTGTCTCAGACTCAGACTGCCTTCCTATTTCGTTATGTACATACACCCTATATCTTTCTCGGCAGCTGAATTTTGTTTGTAGAACATTAATCTATCAGGAAAAATATGTGTCTTGCAAGGTGTTGCTCTTTGGGGTCACCATCTATTGTATAACATAGCTCAGAACAAATTGTAGGATGTCAGACAGGCTGGGTTAAGGAATACACTTTACTAGGGAAAGGGAGAATTTAGAGGGCCAGGGTTAGCAGGAGAAGAAAGTGTTCTCCCGTCTACCATCACCCCACAGAGAGGCAAACCCGGGGTATCTGTTCGCAGGGAGGGACCTCATTCCACCCTATATTTATAGGGCAAGCATGGGGAAGCAGCATTGTTGCGGGGAGAGGGGTGATAAGCTGGCTGCTCTGTGCCAGGCAGTCTGGATTTAGATTTGGGTTGCCAGTTGTGTGAGAAGCCAGCTGCCCAGCACCCAAAGGCCCTGGGGCCCATGGGAAGTTGTACTCTCCGCACCCCCATCACGAGAAGTCAGTGATCCCATGTGGTGCTGAGCTTGGATGCAGCCGCCCTTGCTAGTTTGTCCAGAAGTCAACTCCAGGGGTGGTGTTTGGATGGTTTTGCTCATTGCATCACACTGTGTATATATTATCTGCAGACTTCCCAAGGAGAACCTCGATTCTGTAGCTACAAGTCTTCATTAACATGGAACAGAATTTTTCTTACCTGTATCAATTTTTGAGATTTGAAATTACATGAACAAACATTTAGATCAAGTAGAGATTATCTTGTTAAAAGAGCAAATGTTTGGGGCCGGCCCCGTGGCTTAGTGGTTAAGTGCGTGCGCTCCGATGCAGGCGGCCGGGTTCGGATCCCGGGCGCGCACAGACGCACTGCTTCTCCAGCCATGCTGAGGCCGCGTCCCACATACAGCAGCTAGAAAAATGCACAACTATGACATACAACTATCTACTGGGGCTTTGGGGGAAAAATAAATAAAATTAAAAAAAAAAAAAAAAAAGAGCAAATGTTCTAGGGATTAAAATTCCCTTTCAGCATTAGCAATTTGCCGTAGAATCTCCAAAGGTGAATTTATTTTATGCATTGAAAATGAGGGAGACTAAGTGTTTTTACAAAGTAGTTTTTAGTAAAATATGAGGTTTGGTGTCTTTGATATATGATAATGTTTGTTCAATATAAATCATTCTTAACTTTTTGATCATATAGCTAAATACTTGTAGTTTCATTAATGGCAGAATTGTAAAATAGATGTTAAATGAAAACACATGCGCGTATGTTAATCATGCTTGTCTAAAGCTAAAAAGGTTCGGTTTGACTGTAAGTTAATGATTAAATTCTTCTTTAGGGGAAGATATTGTACAAATCTGTTTAACAAGTCACATTTGAATTTTTTCTTTTGAAAATATTAGCAAGAAGGCTCACTTTGTGCTCAGCATTGCTTGAATAATCTATTGCAAGGAGAGTATTTTAGCCCTGTGGAGTTATCTTCAATTGCACATCAGCTAGATGAAGAAGAGAGGATGAGAATGGCAGAAGGAGGAATTACTAGTGAAGACTATCGCACATTTTTACAGGTACTGATTTTAAACTCACTAAATTGTGTTTTTTAAAAAAATATGGGTACTGTTTAGAAAAGGACAAACCATTCTTCCCATGGGGATCTGACTGGTTAATTATAACTCTGCTCTTGACTTTGTAAGTGGAAATGAACGCGGTGTTATTTTAAATATGCACACTAATGACGGTTTTTATCCTTCTCTCCCTACCCTCAACCCTTGCTCAACTACCTGTCCAAATTAAACAGCAACCTTCTGGAAATATGGATGACAGCGGGTTTTTTTCTATTCAAGTAAGTAGTCACAAGCATGTGCTAAGTGTTGTTTATGTCCTAGGCACTGTTTAAGTTCAGGGTCGGGCTGATCTGAGTATCTTTTCACAGCCTTTTAGTCACTGTAATGATGTGACCTTCAGAACTTCCTCCAGTAGACCATGTCTAAGAGTATAAGATTAGAGTACTAGATTTTTATATAAATAACATGAAAATTAGGATTGTAGAGTCTTCATTTTAGAGTAGGGCTTTTTGAAAGGAGATTATTTAATTTGCCTCTGGATGCTAATAATCTTAATTCCAATAAGTCACAGTGTTTCAAACTGACTCTCTCTTGTGTAAGTTTGAGAAAATGCAACACTTCACTACCTTACATTTAAACCAGCCTACCAGGATTGAATTCCTTTCTTATCATCTTTTTTTTTCTTTTTGTGAGGAAGATCAGCCCTGAGCTAACATCCATGCCAATCCTCCTCTTTTTGCTGAGGAAGACTGGCCCTAGGCTAACATCTGTGCCCATCTTCCTCCACTTTATATGAGATGCCACCTCAGCATGGCCTGACAAGCAGTGCATCGGTGCGCGCCCGGGATCTGAACCCAGGCTGCCAGCAGCAGAGCCCGCGCACTTAACTGCTACGCCACGGGCCAGCCCCGCTTTTGCTTTTCTTTTAAACTTACATGTTCACCCATAGAATTCAAGGGGAGCTATATTACTTGTGAGATTCTTTTATCTTTTCTGTGGATCTTTCATTCTGTTTCTAATACCTGTGAGGTGTCTCCAGAGTTCTTTTCAGAACCTCTCCTTAGGGACCTATTTCTGCAAATGTCTTTGTTTGCATTCCCCTTGTACTGTCTTCCTGGACCCCTCGATCACCAGTATACCCATCCAGGGCTTCAGTGTGCACTGGTCCAGGTAACAGCTACTGCAGGGCTAGAATCAGAGGCCTGAGCGGGCCCAGCACTCGCCGTTTCCTGGTTGTGCAGCAGCTGCCCTTGGTGCCAGTTCACGTCTGCCTGCTACACTGCATTCGCGTTTTGTCTCTGTTAGTACCTGGTTCACTTGCTTCTTTGTTGGTTACTTGGGGGAGAGTAGATAGTGAATTTTCAGAAATTTCTCTTTTTTTCCTCAACAGTTTGAAATAATCAGGTTCATCTTTTGTTTTTTCCTACAAATTACAAACCCATGATCATAGAAGTTTATGAATCTGTGGAACCTTCAGTTTAAATCCCCAGGGAGAACTCATCTTAATGGACATAAAATTATTGTTGTTACTGACATATCAGGTAGTGAGTTGAATATAACTTTTCTAAAGTGGGACCCATAGCAGCCAAATTATCACATGTATGTAGTGGACTAGTTTTAAGAATAACACCTATTGGATAGAATATACATCTAGATTTTTAAGGCAATTTTATCTAGGAATTGTGTGGTTCTCTGGAACGTCAGAGAAACCGAGTGTGAAAAGCATTCTTTTGATGCTATGTGTGTATGTTAATTATGGATTTAGTGATATTTCTTCATACCTACACACTTTTTTAAAACCACAGCCTTCTGGGGAAATTTATACATGAAGTACAATTGTTTGCACAACTGACATGGCTATACTACTTAAATTTGCAATTGAATGATTTAGCTCATGAAAAGTTGCTATTCTTTTTTTTAACAGGTTATAAGCAATGCCTTGAAAGTTTGGGGTTTAGAGCTAATCCTGTTCAACAGTCCAGAGTATCAGAGGCTCAGGATCGATCCCATGTAAGATTTTATTTTGCTTCTGCTACATTCCTTTTCCTAAACTTGATTTTTTTTTTTTTTTGTGAGGAAGACTAGCCCTGAGCTAACATCCGTTGCCAGTCCTCCTCTTTTTGCTGAGGAAGATTGGCCCTGGGCTAACGTCCGTGCCCATCTTCCTCCACTTTATATGGGACGCCGCCACAGCATGGCTTGGCAAGCGGTGCGTCGGTGCGCGCCTGGGATCCGACCAGCCAACCCTGGGCTGCCGCAGCAGGGCAGGCGCACTTAACAGCTACGCCATGGGGCCGGCCCCTAAACTTGATTTTTAAAGTTATATTTCTTAAAGGAGAAAAATGTATTTTGGATGCTTTTGCCTTGACACTCCCTGCTTCATTCCCTCAGATTTTCCTATCTCACCTTTTGGGGGATGTCCATGAACATCTGGCCACTGAGCCTCCCTTACACCTCAGTGTCTGGCAGCACAGACCTGGTCCTTGAATGCTGTGTGATGCCATCATTTGTGCTCAGCATCACTGATCTGCAGAGAGATCCATAGGGTTCTGTAATTTCTGAAGAATCAGTGATATTTAACTATAAACCTAATACTAAGTTGTCATAGGTTTTGTGTAATACTTGCCAGTAAAAAAACTAAATGAATATGAACTCTGATATTTCAGCTTAATGTTGTGTATTTTTTTCTTTTCCTAGAAACGAAAGATCATTTATATGCAATTATAAAGAACACTGGTTTACAGTTAGAAAATTAGGAAAACAGGTAATGTTTCTCTTCCTTCCCTGTCTTTTTTCTCATTCTGCACTCCATTTGCAACTAAAATGTAAGGGATTGGTGCCTTAAAGATGAAGAAACTCACCAGTAATGTGTTTGTGTGTGGCATGGTTTCATGATAGATAGAAATTTGCTATTTTAAAAGATAATATCAGGGGCTGGCCCAGTGGTGTAGTGGTTAAGTGCGCGCGCTCCGCTGCTGCAGCCCAGGGTTCGGATCCCAGGCGCGCATTGACGTACCGCTTGTCAAGCCATGCTGTGGCGGTGTCCCATGTAAAATGGAGGGAGGTCGGCACGGATATTAGCCCAGGGCCAGTCTTCCTCAGCAAAAAGAGGAGGATTGGCAACAGATGTTAGCTCAGGGCTAATCTTCCTCACAAAAAAAAAAAAAAAGAATACATAATAAACATTTAAAAGAAAAAAGACAATACCAATTTCCTTCATAGATTTGTGGCAACCATATACAGTTTAACTGTACCATAAGAAAAATTCTCTATTTAAGACAGTGCAAAAGTGGTTACTTTTAAGTGGGTTTTTATTTTATAAAGATGTTCTGTCAGTAAACTATTACATTTATAGACTTGTATTTAGCAAAATAGTGTCACAAAGCCTGAAACAGTGTCCAGCTTGAATAAAAGTTTCCAATCATGTTTGCATAATAAGATTATTCATGTTCCAAAATGCTACGTAATAAATATATCTACATAAAATCATTTCTATTTTTTAAGGAAAAAGAGCGTGGTATGTGTTTCAAGCGAGCCTTTTTTAAGATGAAGAAATGTACCTAAAATGTTATCTTTTAAAATAATTACCAATGATCTTTGTACACATGATTCCATTTTTGAAACAATTATTTAAAGTCCTTTTTATTAGACTTTGAATCTTTGAAGGAGAGTTATTGAAAATAGGCTAATACAATAAAAGAAATGAACTATTGATACTTGCAGCAACATGGATGGATCTCAGAATAATTATGTTGAGTGAAACAATCTACACATAAAATACTTTGTAGTGTATAGTTCCAGTTATGGAAAAGTCTGGAAAATGCAAACTAATCGAGGATGACAGAAAGCAGATCGACCAGTGGTTGCCTGGGCATGAGGAGGACGAGAAGCAGTGAAAGGAGGATTACAGGGCACAGAAACTTGGAGTGATGAGTGTGTTCACTCTCTTGGTTGTCATGGTTTCAAGGGTGTATGCATATGTTAAAACTTTTCAAATTGTACACTTTATGTGCAGTTTATCGCATGTCAGTTATACCTCAATAAAGCTGTTGAAAAATGAAATAATACAAAGCAAACAAGAAAATGAAGTCAAGAAAGTATACATTGAATTAAACCTTTTTTATTTTTTTTTTGCTGAGGAAGACCGGCTCTGAGCTAACATCTATCACCAATCCTCCTCCTTTTTTTTTTTACCCACAAAGCCCCAGTAGATAGTTGTATGTCATAGTTGTACATCCTTCTAGTTGCTGTATGTGGGACGCGGCCTCAGCATGGCCGGAGAAGCGGTGCGTCGGTGCGTGCCTGGGATCTGAACCTGGGCTGCCAGCAGTGGAGCGCGCAAACTTAACGGCTAAGCCATGGGGCCGGCCCTGAATTAAATCTTAATAAAAGATAATTCAAAAACAAAAACTCGGCTAAGAGCAAGTAAGAAGGTGTGGTGCAGTAGAGACCGACCGAGTGGGGATCAACTCTAGGGAAAGACCCGGTTAGGACACTGCCAAGATAATTTACCCTCTGGGTTTTATTTATATCTTTAAAATTATGATCAAGTATTCTTTACTTTTTATGTATAAAGTAATCACTGGATTTTTTAAGATCTGAAGACTTAGATTCCAGAAGTTCCTTTGTATTGATATGCATGTAAACTTATTATTTTGAGAGGTTCTTAAAATTTTAGTTCTTCAAAATTGAATTCTCATATTTTTAAGTTATCTTGGACAAATATAGGAAATATCAAATTTTAGCGTATTATCTTTAGCTCTAATTTATATTTTTGTTTAAACTTGTATTTTTTCACTATAGGTTCTTTTGTCTGAGATCCCTGTATAATGAAAAAGATGACTGGAGAAAATATTATCATCTCTTTCAAAATTCAGGAAAAGTAGTAGGTCATGATGCTACAGTAGCTTTTAAAAGTCGTCTTAGGGGGGCCGGCCCCGTGGCGTAGCGGTTAAGTGCGTGAGCTCCGCTGCTGGTGGCCCGGCTTCGGATCCCAGGTGTGCACCAATGCACCACTAGTCAGGCCATGCTGTGGCGGCATCCCACATAAAGTGGAGGAAGATCGGCACGGATGTTAGCTCAGGGCCAGTCTTCCTCAGCAAAAAGAGGAGAATTGGCATGGATGTTAGCTCAGGGCTGATCTTCCTCACACATAAAAAAAGAATTAAAAAAAATAAATAAAACTTTTCTTATCTTGTGGTTTAAATTAGGACTCCTATGAGGTAGTGACTAAATGATGTTAATTATATGCAATGGTGGCTTAATGATCTTTTCTAAATGAGTTCGTAATTACAAATTCTCTTCCTGGAATATCTGACTTGCTTGCAATTAGGGGCTTTTAACCAAAATTATCAGTAGTGGGAAAACTGTGTAGTTGTCATTTTTCTTCCACATCAGTATGGTCTGATTGGATTAGAGTTAGGTTAGATTGATAATTTGAAGAAAATTAATTATAGTTATCAATAAAGATACTTAAAATATGATCAGTTTCTATTCTTTCCTTTTTGGGGATGATTTAAAGTTTATGGCTTAAAGCAAACTTTTATTTATTTTTTTAATTTTTTTATAATTTTATTTATTTATTTATTTTTTTACCCAAAGCCCCAGTAGATAGTTGTATGTCATAGCTGCACATCCTTCTAGTTGCTGTATGTGGGACGCGGCCTCAGCATGGCCGGAGAAGCGGTACGTCAGTGCGCGCCCGGGATCCGAACCCGGGCTGCCAGCAGCGGAGCATGCGCACTTAACTGCTAAGCCACGGGGCCAGCCCCATGAACTTTTATTTTTAAAAAAGCATTTAATAGTGATAAATCTGCAACAGTCTATTTCAGTTTTTTTTTCATGACATTATTTAATTACCTTAAAAAATCTCGGTGTGACATGTTTCCGGTGCTTAGTGAGTCTCACTAAGTTTAGATGGGTTATATCTATTCTTAATATGTGAAACTTCCTCATTACTTAAAATGTACACTAACTTAAATATTGATAATTTTTTTTTCCAGTGGTTCAACTTGAATTCTCTCTTGACGGGTCCAGAATTAATATCAGATACATACCTTGCACTTTTCTTGGCTCAACTACAGCAGGAAGGTAAATAAAGACTGAAAATTTTATAATGTTATCTTTCAAAGTAGCCAAATAAAGCTGGCTCATTAGATGTGAATGTAACAATACTGTTTTTATGGCAGTGGCAGTGAAGTCTTTGTTGTACGTGGTGAACTTGAGGCTGTGCTTTGGCTGATCCTGTTCGGGTGGAGTTCTCACTGACCCCGGGCCTCCCCTGGGATGCTGCTTCCTCTGCAGCCCCTCTGAGTAATGGCTCTTTTTCTTCCGTACCCCACACAGCACAGGGCCAGGGAGAGGGGTGGGCATTCTTATTGTTCATCCTTGCCCCTCTAGGCCACTGCTCTTCCCTAAAAACTCTGGCTCCTTTGAAACACATGCCACTGGGTTAAACTCTGCCCTCGGCTCTTTTGCAGTCATCTGTGATCCTCCTCCTTTTTCCTTGAAGGTTTTAGGATCTTACTGTCTTCTCTCTGCTTCAACTCCTTCGATCATTCTTAGTGATTTCTACATCAAAAGTTAATCCAATCCAATACCTTGCTTCTTACTTTCAAAGATCATTTTCTGCACTCTTGCCTTGCCATTACCAATAACCATACCACCTTCAAATCCCGATTACAAGCATCCTACTCTTTGACTATTGCCTCCTATGTTTATGCCATATTTTCTCTGTTTTTTTCATTCCAACACTTCTTTAAATCCAACCAGAAGGCCCAGACATTCTCCTTAGATCCTTCCTTCCTTCTTCTGCTTATTTTCTATAATCCAACCTTGTACTCCCTCCATTGCATTCCCCAGCTCCTTTCTCCTCTCCCTCCATCATACTTTCATGACAAAATCCCAACCCTGGTTGAAATCAAATCTTGGTCTTGTCCATTCCTGCACTGGAGCAGCTGAACATGGCTAAAGAATAACAGAAAATATAATGATTGATTTTGCTTTAAATTTATGATCACAAATTTCAAATGAGCCTGTAGTGCTACCTGACATTCCTACTGTGTTTTCTTACTAAGTTCACTTACCACTCACCAAGATGATTATTTCATAACTTATGTCTGTAAACCTCTAACCATTCTCTTCCCTCACTTCCTCTTTCCCTCACTTCCCTCCTTCCTCACTCCTAGCTTATGGCTTTCCTTTATAATCTACTTCGAGAACAGAAGCAATTAAAAGAGAACTTCCTCATCTTTCTACCAGAAAATCTATCAACTTGTCTATATCTCTACCTGTGCTTTGAGCCTATGGAAATAGATGACTTGTCCCCTGCTCCCAACCAAGACCAGCCTCTCCACTTTGGGGCTGGATCCCAGCTCCTCTACCTTCTCAAGGTCTTTGCTCCTGCTTTTGTCTCTCCTCGCTCCTGTATGATCAGTTTTTCCCCTTGTTGCTGTATTATTCCTATCAGTAGAGAAATAAGCTCTTTACCTCCATTGATTAAGAAGAAAAAGCCTCTCTTAACTCCAGGAAACTCCAGCTGCCTCCCTATTTTTATTTTCTCCTTAGAATCATCTTTAGTGTGTTGTCTTCTATTCATTAACTCATTCTAGTCACACTGTCATAACTGTGTCACCCTCTTCTCTGTGTCACCAATGACCTCCACATTTGCCAGTGCCAGTATTCAATTCTCAGTCTTCCTTTTATTTGACCTCATCTTATTTGAGGGTATAATTTATTACACCCTCCTTTAAACAGAACAAAATAAAACTTAATTATCAAAAATTTCAAACAAAGGGGCCGGCCCTGTGGCGTAGTGGTTAAGTGTGCATGCTCCGCTGCTGGCGGCCCAGGTTCGGATCCCGGGTGCGCACCAACGCACCGCTTGTCAGGCCATGCTGTGGCGACGTCCCACATAAAGTAGAGGAAGATCGGCACAGATGTTAGCTCAGGGCCAGTCTTCCTCAGCAAAAAGAGGAGGATTGGCATGGATGTTAGCTCAGGGCTGATCTTCCTCACACACACAAGAAAATTTTTCAAACAAATTTAAAAGTAGAGAAAATAATGTGATGAACCCTCATGTACCCTTCAGTCAGCTTCAACAATTATCTCTTGGCCAATCTTGTTTTATGTATTCCCTACCCACTTCCTTCCCCTGTTTATCCTGAGCAAATATTAGGTGTCTTATAATTTTCTCTGAAAATGTTTTTTATAATTAAAATCTTTAAAAGCAAGGACTGTTTTAAAAAAAATATAGCCACAATACCGTAATCACACCTAAAAAATTTAACCACAGTGCCTTAATAACATCAAATACCCTGTCAGTGTTCAAATCTCCAATCTCCTTGGTTCTTGATGTTTTTTACTGTTTAATGCAGGTTAAAATAAGGTTCATTGATTGCACTGGATTGATATATCTATGAAGTTGAACTGTAGGTTTCCTCTCCTCTTTATTTTCTCCTTAATTTTTTTTTTTTGAAGAAAAGGGGCTGTTCTGTTTCCCACATTCTAGACTTTGCTGATTTCATCCCTCTTTTCCTCTGAGCCCTGGATCCCAATAGACTAGTCCTTAGATCAAGAGGCTTGATCAGATTCAGGTTGATTTTGGGGAGACGGTGGAAGTCTCTTCACAGATGATGTGGCACTTGATGTCTGTTGTCTCTTTTTGTGATTTGAGTAGCTATTGATGATCAGTCCCTAGATTGATTATTTCATTAGGGGTTCCAAAATGGTGATATTATATTCCCGTCATTGCTTCATTTATTTACTGGAATACTTCTATAGAAATAAACTTTCCCTCATCAATTATGTGGTTATCCTAAAATATAGTTTATATGGGAAAAGCAAGATAAGTATTTCTTTCCTTTTATCAGTTTTTTTAAATGAGTTGGTTTCATAATGTCCTTCCTCCAAAGGTTAACCAATTCATTTCTTTTTTATTTTACTGAAGTGTCATTGTAAACTAACCCATTAAAACATAGTCCATTGTAACTGTTATTCCTATTGATATTCAAATTGTTCCATCTTGGACCAGTGGGGACCCTTTAAAGTTGACTCCTAAGTTTCTGAAATGACCACTACAGTCTTTTGAAGGCATGCGTCCTTGTCCTCGTATAACAGGATGTTTCAGGCTTATCTTGTGTGTGTCCTGCCCTGTGAGTGGTAGTGTTTAGAGATCACAGTCTGGGCCTTGGCGTGCTTATTGCTACTGGGTTGGTCGTCATGTAACGTTTTTCTAGTTCACATGTAAGATTATAGTGTTTTTTACTTCTTTGATTTTATATACTTGTATCTCTTTTCTTTTATGCCTAAAACCCTGGTTTCTAATTATATCCCCCCTCTTGAAACACTGTCCACACTTGGCTTCCAGGCCACTGTGCTCTGGTTTTCCTCATATCTCATTGGCTGCTTCGTTCAGATTCCTTTTCCAATCACTAACTACTGAAGTGACCAGAGTTGAGTCCTGGACAACTTCTCAATTATGTGCTGTCCCATTATTTTAAATATTATCTCTAAGATCCATGCGCCAGTAGTTCCCAAACTTTTATCTGCTGCTTAGACCATCTCCCCTGAACATCAGACTCCTAATTTGGAAGTCCAGAAAGCATTTCAAACTGAGCATGTCTACAAAAGACTGATTTTGGTTTTTTCCTCATACATGCTGTCTCTCAGGTTTTCCCTTTCAGCGAGGATCACTGTTCTTGCATTCTTGTTCCTATATGTTATATTGATAAGGCAGCCCAGAGTGCTTTTTTAAAAATGTCATGCATATTATGACACACCCTCACTCTTTACCCTTCAGCGGCTCCCCAGCACACTTAGAAGAAAATCTAAAGTCTTGAATAAAACCTAAGATATTTACTGTGCACCTGAACAAGACAGAGTTTCTGCCCTTCATGATGCCCTTCATGGAATACCATTGTGAGCTGACACACTTATTCTGGGATCTAGATACAGTTTTCCTGGCATAAAACAGTTGTTAAACCATCTGAACTCTGAGCACACTTGTCCTGGTGAAAAAAAAATGTTAAGCATATTATGATTTACTGCTTTCAGTTTTTCCATTAATAGTCCTTTTGATCTTTATTTGTTTCATTGTGTGTTAATGCTCGCAAAGGATATCCAGTAACAAGCACCAAAATTTAAGAAAAATTTATGTAGAAAAACTTAAATTGATTAGAATGACTTAGATATAGACCACCCTTATTAAGTTTTTGTGTGGGGTATCCAGCTGGGAAAACCCTGGCTTTCTAGAATCATGTTTATAAAAATTACACTGGACCATTGTAATGCTTTCAAAATACGAACCACTTCTTCAACAAGTGGGCTGGATTTGGGGTATTGTCTTCCCAGTCTGTTTTCAGTTAGAAGAGAGGTGTTTGTGTGTGTGGATGTGTGTGTGTGTGTGTGTCTGTCTGTCTGTCTGTCTGTCAGGGTGGGGGCACCTATTTCCGCAGATGACTCATTTTGCCTGTATTACACATTATTACACACATTATCTGATCGCGTCCTCACCACAGCCCTCTGAGGACGGCCCAGTATCATCGGTTTAACGATTGAAGAAACCAAGGCACAGATGGGTCTCTTGATTTCCCAGAGCCCATGCAGCCGGGAAGTGGAAGAGCTGGGGTTAGAACCCAGGCAGTCTGATTCCAGACTCCTCGCTCTTTCCCCTCCTTCACCTGCTCTCTGGTATTGTTCAGTGAGTGGCTTCCTTGCTCAAGCACGGTTTTAGCAGGACCCTTTACAGATATACTTCCCTTATTTCTCATAGTCACTCTGTGAGATGGCTAGTCCCATTTTACAGGCCAAGAAAGTGAGGCACAGAGACTCTAAGTAATTTGTCCTAGATCACTCTGCTAGTAAGTATAAGAATCATTATTTGAACCCAGGTCTTTCTGACTCCTCAGTTTGTATTCTTTCCACTATACTGTACCACCTCTATGTCTGCTATCATTTTAAATCGACTTTGAATCTCTTACTAGCTGTTTTAGTTTATTTTTGCCTTTTTTTTAGGTTATTCTATATTTGTTGTTAAGGGTGACCTGCCAGATTGTGAAGCTGACCAACTCCTGCAGATGATCAGGGTCCAACAGATGCATCGACCAAAACTTATTGGAGAAGAATTGGCACAATTAAAAGAACAGAGGTAAAATTAAACCCACAGTATGGAATATATGATAGTATTTTATTACAAGAAGTAAATTTTCATGCTTGCATTCAATGTGTGGTCCTTTTATTATTGGTGATTTTTTTAGACTTATATTTTAGTGAAGTTTATTGGTTCAAACTCGAATCAACTCTTTGAATTACTTAAATATATTAACTTAGATTCACATCACAACACAATCTTATCTGCCAGACAATGTATAAGTTTTGACTTACATAAAATTTTTGGTTTATAAATGTCTTTATGTTATATCTAAAATAGAAGACTGGTCTGCAGTTATTATCAGTGCTTTTGTTCTTCAGAGTCCAGAAAACAGATCTGGAACGAGCCTTAGAAGCAAATGACGGGTCAGGAATGTTAGACGACGACGAGGAGGATTTGCGGAGGGCTCTGGCACTGAGTCGCCAGGAAATTGACATGGAAGATGAAGAAGCAGATCTCCGCAGGGCTATTCAGCTCAGTATGCAAGGTATGGACACTCTGACACGCACTTTATTTGTCCTTGAAGAATCGATTCAGATTATTCTTAGCTCCCCTAGAAGTGAACATACTGTTAGTGGAAGTTCTTTCACAGTCACTGCAGAAACAATGGCTGTGTACAATCCGCCATTCCTACAACCTGTGTTATATTAGGACTAGTTATATTTCTGGTTATTCTATTTGGTTATAATACTGTACTAACAAAACAGTAAACTAAGGTTAATCTTTGTGGGGGTCAGTTGACCCCTACCCAGATCAGATGTTTGTAAATATGTGCTATTGGACATGAAGGAAGGCCTGGACAGAGGATATAAATTGGTTTTACAAAAATCTAACACTCAGTGGCCATGCAACTTAAAGCTTAAGCCCACTGTAGTGGGCCCACTGTTTTAGTGATAGAAACCAATCAGCAGAAGTGAAGACCTATCCTCTAGGGAATCCAGGCGGAGAGAAATATCTGGGATGTAGTTCAAAGTGGCTTACTTAAAAGTGTGAGGGTTGTTTTTGTTTTTTGGTAGTTTTGTTTTTTCTAATTAATGTGAATTTGCCTTGTACTTTCTAATGAAATTACTCATTAATTGAATTCCTTAAATATCTAAATAAAATTGAGGTTCCATTAATATGAAGATTGTCCTTTTTATGCTGTATTTCATCCTGAACTTCTCATGCCTCCTGGCACACCTCTGAGTACTCCATATGGTGTGCAATCCCATTTTTGATTAGTAGAGCCCTGCTGGATTAGCCCAAGAAGGGGCAGACACCACTTTAATAATTTTAGATATTTTTGTATATTTCATTCTTCCTCCCACTTTATTTTACAATTTGTACAGAATCTCTAGTCTGTGCAGTTATTAAGTGAGAATATGGAAACATACTTAAGTTGTTGTAGTACCCAGACATTTGAGGATAGAGGAATACAGAGAATGGGTTTGTTTTATGATCATCCACTTGTAGTTACTTCTAGGAATTCTATGCCTTTGAAAGTGTAGATTCATTTCTAATAAGTTAAAAAGAGCACACAAGTGTGGTGTCAATGGCTCTTCCTACCAAGCTGGTTGTTGGATGTATATCCTCCCATCCACCTCATCACAGATGGGTGACAGCTTTGCTTGCAGTGGACACGGTTAAATTTGAACTGCCTTGTTCACATTTTCCCTGGGACTTTCAGAGCCTTTCTTCTATTTACAGAATAGTAGCAGAATATTTTTAAGAAGAAAACTTTATAAAAACTTGCTCAAATAAGTATAAACATATCATTGATTGAATTGGTAAATAAAATAATTTTTTTTGTTGTTCTGTTTTTTTTGTTTGTTTTCAGGTAGTTCCAGAAATGCATCTCAAGACATGCCACAGACATCAGGTACACATCTTACTTCAGAGGAGCTACGGAAGAGGAGAGAAGCCTACTTTGAAAAGTAAAGTAGTTGGCACAATATTAAAATTGCATATTTAATATTTACTTTGGCTGTTCTGTCTATTTATAAACATGTAGCTTTGGCTTAAACGTTTTATTTAGGATTCTCTCCTTTTAAAAGACTGGTTACTGCCTGAACCCTGTAAACATTTGAATGTGTTTTTAAAAAAATTTATAGGAAGGCCAGCCCCGTGGCTTAGTGGTTAAGTGCACGCGCTCCGCTACTGGCGGCCCGGGGTTCGGATCCCGGGTGTGCACCACCGCACCGCTTCTCCGGCCATGCTGAGGCCGCGTCCCACATATAGCAACTAGAAGGATGTGCAACTATGACATACAACTATCTACTGGGGCTTTGGGGTAAAGAAAAGGAGGAGGATTGGTAATAGATGTTAGCTCAGAGCCGGTCTTCCTCAGCAAAAAAAGAGGAGGATTAGCACGGATGTTAGCTCAGGGCTGATCTTCCTCACAAAAAATAAATAAATAAATCTCTTTCAAAAAAAAAAAAAATTTATAGGAAATAAGGGGCCGGCCTGGTGATGTAGTGGTTAAGTTTGTGTGCTCCGCTTCCGCAGCCCGGGGTTCTCACATTTGGGTCCCAGGCATGGACCTACACACTGCTCATCAAGCCATGCTGTGGCAGGTGTCCCACATACAAAATAGAGGAGGATAGGCACCGATGTTACCTCAGGGACAATCTTCCTCAAGCAAAAAAAAAAGAGGAAGATTGGCAATAGATGTTAGCTCAGGGCCAATCCTCTTCACCAAAAAAAAAAAAAATTATAGGAAATAAACTGTGAAATGAAATGTAGTTTTAGGGAAAAACTTTGCCATAATACTAATGAAATAGAGAGGAGGAAACCCTGTAAAATTTCAGTCATCAAAAGAAAATGGAATTGGGTCAAAGCAAGAACAATTCCTAATGATCCTTTGAATGTGCTTCTTGGTTTCCTAGTCCTGCCAAGTTCTATCAATTAATAGGAAAAACAGCATTTACAGTAGAGAGCACATTCCCAAATAGAGGTGGCGGTTAATGTACTCATTGCCACTTGAGGGCGGGTACTGCACACCTGGCAGCATCAGGGACAAGGGGGCAAACCATAGATCTGAATCATCAGCTCTAAAACCTAACTTTGTGCCCAGCTTTATAAGGTGCTCTCAAAATAGAAATTTCATCCTATAAAAATATCATCTTTTGCAGTAACTATCAGTCGCAAGTCTTCTTCCCTTTTAACTTTTTAATGATAAAACTCCATCTTAAAGATTACAAAGTCTATAATAGATATTCACATCCTGTGATCCCAGGTCAGAAAACAAAAAGCCAGTGGCTGAAGCTGGCCTATTATTTACTGTATTTCATCAGTTCTAAGATGGACATATTTTTACATTGCAACATCTCTGCAACTGAGAATCAGCATCTTACAATCACAACTGGCAGTATTTTAGCAGTATCTAAAATATTGGAGCATTTTTCATTTGATGGTGTAATGAAGATAATGTTTACCTTGTTTTCTGTTTGTTTTTTTTTTAAGTCACAACTCAGAAGTATATGAAGGAAAGTTCTGATCAACTGACATCCTCTTAATGTGAGATATTTCTAGTCTTTATTCAGTGATAGATTAATGGATTTAATTATGTATAAAATTCCAAAATAGTGCTTTTCACTTCCTTTTAAATTTTAAAATTAACTTTTTTATTTTTTAGTTATGATAAACTTCAAGTTTTTATATGAATATAGAGAAACCAGCATAATGAACCCCTGTTGACCTACTGCTCAGATTGAACAAATATTAGCACATGGCCAGTGTTATTTTTTCATGCCCCCATCTCCCATGCTTTCCAGTCCCCCACCCCCAAGCTGGGGTGATTTTGTAGCAAATCTAAATTATCATATCATTTCATCCGTATTTATTTCAGTGTGTGTCTCTAAAATATATGGGTTTTTTTTTTAATCTAGTCAAATACTATTGTCACACAATAGTGTTAATAATTATCACGTGATAATTATTAATGGTAATTCTATAATACCATCAAATATCTAGTTAGTGTTAAAGATAACGTAAAACTACTTAATTAGAGGGGCTGGCCCGGTGGCTAAAGCGGTTAAGTGCATACGCTCTGCTGCGGCGGCCTGGGGTTCGCTGGTTCGGATCCCGGGCGTGCACTGACGCACCGCTTGGCAAGCCATGCTGTGGCGGCGTCCCATGTAAAGTGGAGGAAGATGGGCATGGATGTTAGCTCATGGCCAGTCTTCTTTAGCAAAAAGAGAAGGATTGGCAGATGTTAGCTCAGGGCCGATCTTCCTCACACACACACAAAAAAAACGACTTAATTAGATAAAAACTAATATTCTAGAAAATTTATTTTAACACATGTGAAAAAGAAAACATAGTAAGTTTAATAACTGATGTTAGTGTCTTGGCACATTCTCTTCTAGTCACACAGACACACGTATATTGTATATTAGTCATACCCATTTTCCCATGATAGTAGGTATTCCTTTATAGGCTGTATGATATTTCATAAAATGAATATATGTAACGTAATTTTATATGAACCTTTTGATTTTTGCTGTTATAATTGATAGTGCAATGAATAGTGTACTGACTCTATACCTCAAATCTCTCGTCATTTCTTGTAATTGTCCTGAGGATGTCAGATTATTGGGTTAAAAGGATGCGAGCATTTTTAAGGCCTTGGTACAGATTTCTAAACTGCTCTCCAGAACAGTTCCCAAGTGACACTTTTACCGTGTTTCTTTCAGACTTTGTTTTTTGCCAGGATAAAACGGTCCAAACAGACATACTTTATAGAGAAACTGCAAAATTCACAAATACACCTAAGAAAAGGAAAACATCTTTAAAGTATAAAAACCAATCACTCTTTTACTTAAAATTTTTTTTTAGATTTTTTGGATTAAAAATGTGAAACTTCCAATAATTAAACTTTTTATAGTAGAAAAGATAATGCATTCCATAATGACTAAATAAGTTAACATAAGCACAATGCCATCGATAACTAACGCAGATGTTTTAGTCAACCTTGCACCCTTTTTAAAATGTCTGAGCATTGGTGTGGTTCCCTCCCGATGGAGGGGAGTTGACGGGGGCGGAAGGTGTGCAGTGATGGTTTCCAGCTTCAGCTTTTCATCCTGCCTCGTGGTTTGACCTTGAAAATAGTGGTGGGAACTTGAGGAGAACTAGAGAATATTTTACAGAGTCACATGTTGCTCAGAAGATAAGAGCTAACTTCTTGGTGTTTCTTTTTAACATTGGCACTCAGAATCTTGTCGGACTTATTAGTAAAGCTGAGACACTAATATTTGCCTTTCACTAGAATTCCCAATTACTAAGCCTAGATGGGTCCTTGTTCCTCTAGTTTCCATCTTTGGGAACCTGGCTCCAATGTTATGGAGCTAACTCTTTCTTCCCTCTGACCCTCTCCAAACTGACTCCAATGCCAACTTTTTATTCATTCAAATTCATCATTGTTTTTTTCCCATAGAGTATTTGAAGCTTCATACTTAATGTAGTAACCACAGTGTTCATGCATCAAGCATAAAAATGCTGTTAAAAATCTATCTGTTACAAATCCATACTTTATGAGTAAGAGTTGTTAAATAATATTTTCATAGCCATGATATTTTTTCCAGTAGTAATCTCTAAATACATTTTACCTACCATAAATCTCCAAGCAAAACTCTACTCTATCAGCTATGTCACTGTAAAACCTACCTTAACTCACATGTTGTAAGCATCAAATTAGGCAATGTGTGTAAAACAGTTTCATAAACTATGAAGTATTCCACAGATATGTTAGCATTATTAATGTCTTCTCTAGGTGTAGCTCTGAAATGATGCAGATTCTTTCTTTCTGTCATTAAAAAAGTGTTTCCCAACAAGGAGGGAAGCAAATATTATTTTCATGGTCATGGGTTGCTGTGATTTTCTGATTGCCTGATGCTTGAGCCACCACTTCAGTGGCATGGCGTAGTTTATCAGGGTTCAATTTAAGAAACAGAAACTACTAGAGGTGTTTTAAGCAGAAAACTATTTAATATGGAAATTAAGGGCTTCCACACTCAGGAAGAGCTGGAGGTGCAGGCTATAGGCCAGGCCTCTAGAATTCCATAGACCAACTTGTTGGATGAGCTTCGGCCACTGCCCGACTTGGGATGATGGGGAATCAGGATATCGAGTTTAAGAACACACTGCTATAGCTGTGATCCTAGGATCAGGAAGCTGCCACCAAAGTTGCCTAGACTAGAACATGAAGTCTGGCCTCCCCTGCAACTGCGGTGAAGCAGAATTCTGGGACTGGCATCTCCATGACTTGACTTGCCAGCAGAGAACATCCACAGCAGCAGGAATATGGCTATGCCTCATTTCTGCCTTTTAAATCTCATGTGAGTGCTTAATTGCTTTCCAGAATCCTGCTGTAAAGCAATCTAAGACATGTAGTTTTTAGCTTCCCAGCTTCTATAAGACTGATGGCACATTAGAAGGCACCGTGGGAATGGATGCTGAGTGCTATTTGAACATGTTCCATCTTAGGGTGTCATCACATATGAAAGGTGTCAAAATTGTTTCAGGGTTGGCAATTCATTTACTTCTCACTTTTCATAAATTTAAAGTAGAGTAAAGGTTATATCATTCCCTTGCATTCTGACATATTTTCTTGAGTGGAGGGTGAAGAGGGCATGGAGAGAGATCTGATGTGCCAGGAATTCTTCATAACTCACAGCCTGTCTTTCTCTTGTCATGTTCCAGAATCAGGGTATGCTAGTGGGAGCACACTGCCCACGTGTACCTCATTAGCCATGCACACCAGAGAGTCATAAACCTATCCAGATGTGAGTATGCTGACTCAAAGCCCAACAGCGAGAAATTGCAATTCCCACTGGTTGAATTTTCTTTGTTGCTCATATTTAAAACACAAGGTTAAGAGGGATCCTAGAAAAAAAATGTACTATTCTATTAATAATGCTACTGGTTGGGCCAGCCCAGTGATGTAGTGGTTAAGTTCACACGCTCCACTTCAGTGGCCTGGGGTTCGCAGGTTTGAATCCCGGGTGCGGACCTATGCACCACTCCTCAAGCCATGTGTGGCGGCGTTCCACATACAAAATAAGGGAATATGGGCACAGATGTTAGCTCAGGGCTAATCTTCCTCAGCAAAAAGAGGAGGATTGGCAACAGATCTTAGCTCAGAGCTAATCTTCCTCACCAAAAAAAAAAATAGTGTTACTGGTAATTTTAAAACTCTGGTTCCCTTAAAAATCCTTCTATGCATTTTTTGAAAGCTATAGCTTCTCACTCAGATTGTCAGCTGTTTATAAGTTTATTTTTTTAATTTTCAGCATATATGTATGTATATATATGAAATAATTTTAAATTTACATAAAAGCAGGAATAGTTCACAGAGCTCTTTATACCCTTCACCAGATTCCCCAATTATTGACATTTCTGAACTGTTTGAGAATAACTTGCCGACATGATTTCCATTACATCTCAATATTTCAGTGTATATTTTCTACGTACGAGGACACTCTCCTGTATATTTACTTCATAACCATCATGTTTAAATGTTTTAAATTGTAGATTTTTATGATGTGTTTCCTCTTGGGAAAAAATACAGGGAGAACTTATTTTAATGCATTAGATATTACTGAAACTTGATAATGCATATTAAATAGTTGTTTTCATTTCTTTCATTCATCAAGTATTTGGTGAATGACTACTGTGTGCAAGGCACAGTTTTAGGCATTGGGGAAACAAACAAGATAAGCTTTGGGCTCTTGTTAGCTTACACTCTAAAGACGGAGACATGAACAGAAGAATATCAGATGGTGATAAGTTTATGCTGAAAATTAAAACGCAGTGATGAGATAGTGAGAATGCCAGGTGGCTCCTTCAGGTGGGTGGTCAGCAAAGGTATCTCTGAGGAGGTATTTAAGCTCAGATTTGAATGACAGGAAGGAGCTAGCCATGCAAAGATCATGTTAACTCACCTGGTAATGTGAGATACTTTATCTTCTCAAAGGTGCTTATGTTCAGTGACTTCCAACAATATTAAGGATCTGGAAACCAACACATTTGCATTAAAATAGCTACCAGTGAATCCTTTTGTACAATGTGTTATTTTGTGGTGAAAATACCTACCTATTGATTTGTCTGATAAATTCCAATTTTATATCTAGGTTTCCTAGGATCAGCACTGTGGTACTTTGAAGCAATAAAAATCAGACTGATTATTCTTGCATTTTTTTGTGGTGTTCATGCCAGTGACTCTTTTGTTTTATGGAACCACTTTCCATGTGAATAGTTTTTCTCATGGCATATTTATTCTTAGGTTTTGTTTTTTTGACGTACCTTCACTTATGAATGTTTCAGGCAGCAGCAGCAGCAGCAGCAGCAGGATCCACCAGGACAGATTTCATGTCCATGTGAAAGGCCGACCACAAGTTCGGGAGCACTGGGCAGTGATCTAGGTAGGCCTCTCTGACCATCCATCACATCTGTTACCTGCACGCTCTGTTTCCTGCGCAGGCTTCCTGTGATTGTGGGTTTACAGGCTTTTTTCTCCTCTCTTTAATTTTCTCAGAACTCTTGAATGAATTTGTAATCTCCTAAATTTCCCTGGATTAAGAAGCAGGCTGACTAGAGCACTCAATGAATGTTTTGCTTTAAAATCATAAACAATACTTGCACCGTCACAGTAATTAGTACATTCTCCAAACGCTCCTCCAAGATAGTAAATATTAGTAGGTGGAAAACAAATACATTTTATTCCCTGGAAAACTAACCTGATTGTAGTCTAAATGACAACAGGAAGTCTAGAGTTACTTATCAGGCCTTGGTTGAATAGGTCTTAAACTTTGGCCAATTATTGCTGGTAGAAGTTGAGTGAAAAAATGTAGATGACAACTTGAAAGCAGAATACATAAAGAACTCTCAAAACAGAAATAAGAAAACAACTCAAAAAAATGGGCAAAGGATTTGAACAGACACTTTACCAAATAAAATATATGGATGACAAGTAAGCAAATGAAAATATGCTCAACATCAGCAGCCATTAAGGAGATGCAAATTAAAACCACAATGAGATACCATTACACACCTATAAGAATGGCTTAATAAAGAAATAAAATTGACAATACCAAACTGCTAGCAAGGATCAGAGCAGCTGGGACTCTCATACATTGTAGGAATGTAAAATGATACAGCAACTTTGGAAAACAGTTTAGTATTTTCTTATAAACTTAAATGTTAACCATGTGATCCAATAGTCCCAATAGATCCAATAGTTACCTAGTCCACTAGGCCTAGGTAAATAATCTGGCTCTATTGCCACCCCACCCTGTCATACTCCTAGGTATGTAACCAAGAGAAAAGAAAACTTAGGTTCACACAAAAGCTTGTATGTGGATGCCTGTGGCAGCTTTATTCATAATTGCCAAAACCTGGTAACTGCCTAAATGTTGTCCTTCAGCTGGTGAATGGATGCACAAACCGTGGTACATTCAAACAGTGGACTACTATTTAGCAATAAAAAGAAATGAACTGTACTTTTCCCTACTTCTCCTGCTAAATACAGCTAACTACCCTGGGCATTCATATAAAACAAACATAAGACTGAAAGGTAGAGAAGACAGACTGGCTAGGAAGCTCAGGACCAGAGGAACAACACGGTGATGAGTGGCCTGGGTTTCCTTGTTGCCTCATCTGACCTGGATGTGGTGCTGGAGAAGCCACGGGTGCAAACCAAGAAAAAGGTCCCAAGAAAAGCCTGCTCTATGTAGCCAAAAGGGACCTGCTAGCAAGACAAAGACTTTTAGATAATAAACACTCTGGTCCAGCCAAGTAAATCAACTGGCCCTATCACCAGCCCACCCTGTCAGCAAAGGCCAAGTGGGAGCCTAGACTTGTCTCCCCTCCTGGCAGTAACGAGGCATATCTCCCCCTTCCCCTGGCCAGGGTGGCATCAGAGAAAGCCAGGTGGGGAGCTGGGATTTTCATTCCCTCCAAGAGACATTGAGGCCCCCTTTCCCATGGTGTCAGTGGTCATAGGGAGCCTGGACTTCCACCCAGCGATAAGGAGGCATCCCTCTGGTTTCCCGCCTGGGTGGTGTGCCTAGTGGAGAATCAGGACTGTCGCTGGTTCGAGGCAGTAATGGGCCCACCTCCACAGTGTTGGTAAGCAGCAGTACCGAGGCATTCCTACCTCTCTCAGTCAGAGAGATGTCAGTGGAGGACAGTGGGAAGCCAGAATCCCATGTGTATTCAGCAATAATGATCACACACACCCTCCCCGTATCTGGCAGCAGCAAGGCAGCACTCCCTTTCCCCCACTGGTGCTGTGTCAGAGGAGGCCTGCTAAAAGAGAAGACTTAAATGATTCACAGTCTTGTAACATAATACCCAAAATGTGCAAGATTCAATAAAAAATCACTTGTCATATCAAAAGCCAGGAAAACTTCAACTTGAATAAGAAAAGACAATCAATAGACACCATCACCAAGATGGCACTGATGTTAGAATTATCTGACAAGGATTTTTAAAGCAGTCATCATAAAAATGCAACAATGAGCAATTACAAACATGCTTGACAGAGATGAAAAAGTAGAAAGCCTTAGGAAAGAAATAGAAAATATAAAGAAGAACCAAATGAAATTTGGGAACTGAAAAATAACAATAGCTGGAATTTTAAAACTCAGTGGGCAGACCCAACAGGTGAATGGAAGGACAGAGGAAAAAATCAGTGAACTTGAAGACAGAACCATAGAAATTACCCATTCTGAGCAACAGAGAGAGAATTAGACTGGAAAAAATTAATGGAGCCTTAGAGACCTGTGGGACTATAATAAAAAATCTAACATTTGTGGCTTGGGAGTACCAGGAGGAGATGAGAAAGAGGGTGGAGCTGAAAAAAGTATTTGAAGAAATAATGGCTGAAAATTCCCCAAATTTGGCAAAAGATATAAACCTACAGATTCAAAAAGCTGAGTGAACCTCAAACAAGATAAACCCAAAGAAATCCATGCCAAGACACATCATAGTCTAACTTCTGAAAACTGAAGACGAAAAGAGAAAATCTTGAAACCAGCTAGAAACACCTTACCTACAGCAATCTGCATGACAGCAGATTTCTCATCTGAAATCGTGGCGTTCAGAAGGAAGTGGCACAACGTTTTTCAAGCGCTGAAAGAAAAGAACTCTCAACCCAGAGTTCTATATCCAGTGAAAATTTGCTTCAGGAATAAAAGGAAAAATTAGAGAATTTGTCACCAGCAGACCTACCTTAAAAGAATGGCTAATGGAAGTTTTCTAAACAGAAATGATAAAAGAAGTAATCTTGGAACATAAGGAAGGAAAAAAGAACAATAGAAAGAATAAAAATATGGATAAACACAATAGACTTACCTCTATTTTTGAGTTTTCTAAATTATGTTTGATGATTAAAGCAAGGATTATAACATTGATTTGGTTTTTAGTGTAAATATTAGAAATATTTAAGGCAATTATATTATAAACGGGAGAGTAAAAAGATATAAAGGGAAGTAAGGTGTCTACATTTCATTTGAACTAATACAGCCACTCTGGACAATAATTTGGCAATTTCTATAAAAATGGAACATACACCGATTATACAACCCAGGATTTAACTCCTGGGCATTTAATCTCAGAGAAATGAAAACTTGGTGTCCATGCAAAAAACTATACATGAATGTTCATGGCAGCTTTACTTGTCATAATCAAAAACCAAAGTGTGCTACAGCAGGTGAGCAGTAAACTGTATGTAGTACATCCATACCATGGGATACTGCTCAAGATTAAGGAGAAACCAACTGTTGATACATGCAACCACTTGGATGACTCTCAGGGGCATTATGCTGAGGGCAAAAAAAGCAATCTCAAAAGATCTCATACTGTATGATTCTGTTTGTGTAATATTCTAAAGATGACATTTATGGAGATGGAGAACAAATTAGTGGTTGCCTGCAGTTAGGGAAGGTGGGGGAAGAGAAGTGGATGTGAATATGAAGGGATAGCAGGAGGGAGATCTTTGTCGTACTGTTACGACTTTGTCGTACTGTCTTGATTGCAGTAGTGGTGGTTACACGAATCTACACGTGATAAAATGCCATAGAACTACACACAACATTGTCAATATCGAGACTTTGGTTTGAGCTATAATCATAAGATTTAACTATTGGGGCCGGCCCCGTGGCTTAGCGGTTGGGTGCGCGCGCTCCGCTGCTGGCAGCCCGGGTTCGGATCCCAGGCGAGCACCGACGCACCGCTTCTCCGGCCATGCTGAGGCCGCGTCCCACATACAGCAACTGGAAGGATGTGCAGCTATGACATACAACTATCTACTGGGGCTTTGGGGGAATAAATAAATAAATAAAATTAAAAAAAAAAAAAAGATTTAACTATTGGGTGAAATTGAGCCGAAGTGTACACAGGACCTCTCTGGACTATCTTTGCAACTTCCTGTGAATAAGTAATTATTTCAAAATAAATATTTTTTTAAAGTAATGAATTGTTGGGCTGGCCCCGTGGCTTAGCGGTTAAGTGCGTGCGCTCCGCTGCTGGCGGTCTGGGTTCGGATCCCAGGCGCGCACTGACGCACTGCTTCTCTGGCCATGCTGAGGCTGCGTCCCACATACAGCAACTAGAAGGATGTGCAACTATGACATACAACTATCTACTGGGGCTTTGGGGGAAAAAAATAAATAAAATAATAAAAAAATAAATCTTAAAAAAATAAATAAAGTAATGAATTGTTGATATACACAACAAAGTTAAGTTTTCTTTCACTTAGCGTAATGTGTTCATTTTCAAATACAAAATAAATGCATTATGTTAAGAGAAAGAAGCCATACTGAAAAGGCTACATATGTACTGGATGATTCCTTTTATGTTGACATGCAGGAAAAGCCACAATTATAGGGTAGAGAACATATCAGTGGTTGCTAGGATTAGGAGTTGGGCTTTGACCACAAAGGGGCAGCATGAGGGGACTTGCTGAGGCAATGGAATGGTTCTGTATCTGGGTGGTGATGGTAGTTATACAACTCTCTGCATTTGTCAAAACTTGATAGAACCCTAAAAGAGTGAATCTTACTCCATGTAAATATCAAAAAAAAAAAAAGGAAACTCTAGCAGTCAAATAGAAATACATATTCTAAGAGTTTACCTTTCGATGAATGAGAATTTTCCAGAAACTTCTAAGAAATACGTATGTTTTCTTTCCCAGCAGGTGATGCTATGAGCGAGGAAGACATGCTTCAGGCGGCTGTGACCATGTCTTTAGAAACTGTTAGAAACAATCTCAAAACTGAAGGAAAACAATAGTACCTTTTACACATCATTTAGATGTTCATACTTTCCAACATTATCCTGTGAGATTAGGGTCCATTTTGCTAATGTGTCACAGAGAACAATGTTCAACAGAGGAAATAAGACTTTTAGGTGGTTTGCAAACAAAAAGATGCGAAAGTGGAAAAATGCGTCAGTTGTAGGACTGAATAACGATCCTCCAAATACTAGCCAAAGAGGCATTCTGCGATTAAAGAAATTTAAAATGTTTTCTAAATGTTCCTTTTTCTTTTTTGAATGTGCAATATCTAACATGTCTAAAATTAGGGCATTTTTCTTGGATCTTTTTGCAAACCAACTGATTAGCGCTTGCCACAGAACTTTTTCCATATATTTTGTTTTGTTTTCCTCACTTTGGTGTAGGTAATTTGGCTCACTTTCATCATCTAATCATTGCTTTTATGTTTCATTAACCAAATTAACCTTTTGGGACAGTGTCTTTAGTCTGTGTTGATAATAGTAATGGTTCCAGAAAGATAAGCTGTTCTCCCTCTAACTATGTATTGTGCGCTTCAGTGTTTTCTCATGTTATTTTCTTTGATCACAATTTCTCTGCTACTCGGTTTTTATTATTTTTCTACAGCTCTTTTGAAAGATGGTAATCTTTCTTGAGGTTTTGCTTTTTAAGCCCTCTGAGATGATATCATTATTTCATGATTCTGGTGCATTCCTTTTTTTTTTTTTTTTTTTCTCTGAAATCAGCTCTGCACAAGTATTTGAGAATAAATGAGCATTTTGTAAATGTGTGAGCATGTCCTTTCCCAGATGCTTTATGGATGTCTTCTCCGTCATGTCAGAACTTGACAGCTTTGTTGTGACCCTCTTTCTTGCACCTTATTATTTCCTTTCTTCTCCAACTGAGAAAAATAGGAGGAGCGTAGTATGGAAGCAAGTTTCCTTCTGTTATAAGACTTAACATATAATCCCCACCATGAATGTATGATAGACAACATTTGGCTTTCTTTCAATTATAGTAGCAGTTTCATTTTTTTTCCCTCCTGTGACTGGAGCTTTCTGTTCTATTGACAGTTGAATCATGGAATGTAGAGGTCTGCTTCTACTGTACATCTTCTAGTAGGTATAGCTTGCCAGAGATGATCATCTGGAACATGAAAATGATTTACTAATGAAATATATTTAAATTTATACTGTAATTTGACACTTTCATCATGTTTAAGTAGCTTAAGAATTATAGAAGTCACATGGTACTTTATGGGTCTGTAAATAAGAAAGTCTTTAGTTTTGATAAACATTCTTTAATTGGGATGCACAGAGAGTTTCTTGCTGGGTCAATACAGTGGTATGATTTTGGTGAAAATTAACCATGTCTCTCTGAAATGGGTGTTTTAGATTCTGTCCTCTACTCCCCATCCCTTATTCTCCATCCTCTTTTGAAGCCCTTTTGAATGTTGAATTGTTCATAAGCTAAAATTTAAGAAATTTCAGTCACTAACTTAAAAAATTAAGAGTATGGTATATTGCCATACTGCTGTATGGCTGCACACATTTTATCAGGGAAATTTTTTTGATCTAGGATTTATTGCTAACCGAAAAGAGATGAGAAAATGCCTTTTATTTATGATTATGAAATCACTTTCTCTTGGATAGAGACAGATTTTTTTAGTCATTATTTTGTGCCAAATGAAGTTTCAAAGTTTCCATTACATAAAATTAGACAGTTTTACTTTAAAATCTAAAGTTTCAGGCCAGCCCCGGTGGCCTAGTGGTTAAGTTCGGTGCGCTCCGCTTTGGCAGCCCAGGTTCGGTTCCTGGGCACAGATCTGCATCACTCATCTGTTGGTGGCCATGCTGTGGCGGCCGCTCACGTACAAAAACAGGAAGATGTGGATGTTAGCTCAGGGCGAATCTTCCTCAGCAAAAAATAAATAAATAAAATCTGAAGTTTTGACAATTGAAAAATGTTTCAGAAGAATTATAAAACTTTAGAACTGTGAGGGCTGTTGGAGTTTAGTACTACCCCCTCAAGATTTACAAACCAAAACATTTTAAGACTGAACATGTCTGTAATTGTCTCCAGTATGCTGGTCATATTTTCCATGGATATTTGGCCTTTCCCTTTTCCCATTGAAAAATTACATTAAACCTTTCATATGCTTGAATTGATGAGCTTCCTAATATAAAAATGAGAAAGCAAATATGCATTTGAAAGGTTCAACCTTAGGTTTATTAAGTTCTTATATTACAAACCTTGTGAAAGCACTTAAGGAAATATGGCATGTTGACCTTCATTTGTTAGGGATTTTTTAAAAGCAGAGCTGAGCACACACTGGATATGTTTGAATGTGTTTATTTAGTTTGTTGTGAAATTGTTATATTTGGCAGGCAGATCCACAATCACTAGTGAACTGCCATCGTGTTTGGATTGGCTTAAATTTAATTGAACACTTAGATTCCATTTCTTAATTGATTGGCCAGTATGAAAAGATGCCAATGTTCATAAATCATAAGCACAGTATCAGAAAATTTAAAAGTTATACAAGGCTATAGTTCACACATCAGGAACTGCTATTTATTATAAACCACCTGCAAGAAAGTCAGGAACAACGAAATTCACAGAAATTGTCCTGCTAAGAACTTTATTTATATAAAGATTTCCATTCTGTTTTATCAATTGGGAACACCTTAATGTTTAATATTTAAACTATTGGTATCATTTTTCTAATGTATAATTTGTATTACCAGGATAAAATACATACAGTGGTGATGCTAGTGTTATAAGTAAAGTTTAAACATGCTTTGGAAATACTACTTTCATATTTTGAGATCTCATGGATTTAATAAGTAGTTATTTATATTTTAAAAATTCAAGGTAGTTAACCTCTGATCTAAAACCATCAATATACATTTTTTTACAGTAATTAACATACAAATATTTCAGTAATGTATATTGTCTGAAAAGTTGCTGCAGGTAGACTATATTTCAGCTCTAAGATCTTGGCCAAATAATTTATAATTCACAGGATATTTAAGGAGGTGCTTTTTTCTTTAAAACTTGATTTTTCTTAAGACTTTATTCATGCCAAAGTTAATGAGGAGAAAAGCTCAAAACAAGTTGAGGATCATTATATGCAAAACCACCAATAGTCCACATTGTTTCATTTAATATTAAGTTGAATAAAGAAAATTTTATTCCAGTCAGAGCCTAAATCACATTTTTAATGTCTGCATGTTTGACACTGTTTCTTTAGCATCATACTAGTGCCAAGATTTACTAAATGTCTTAAAATTGGCCCATTGACCTGTGCAAATTAAAAAAGAGTGATTCAGTACATAAGTAAAACATAATGATAATAATTGAAATATCTTCAGTTAAAAAATAAATCTTTATGTTTTAAATTCTTAAGAGGATTCAACAGTTAATATTGACAACTTTCTATTGAAAACTTTATCTGCAATTGGAAAGGCCCATGACCACTACTTTCAAAGTAAATTGTTTCTTGTATCTGTGCCCTAATAAGTGTGGAAATGTTGTATATGTGATCTTTCCAAAATGGTCTGGCATTTTAAGAATGCTAGTAACATCACATCTAAATTGACAGTAATTGGCATGTTTAATTAATAATAGTGTATCAATAAATTTTTAAGAGTATGGGTTCATAGACAAGGAGGCGGAAACCATAGTGAAATATATGTGGAAATTCTTGATCTATTGAGGAAGCACTTCAGTTGTCTCTCGCATAGTTCAAAGGTGAATGTTTCCAGGAATTTTTTTTAATGCTTTTTTTTTTAAAGGGGAAAACGTACGTTTGAATGTGATTAATTTCTATAACACTGGACTAGTAGGAAGAACTTTAAAAATTACTGTTCTGTATAAATAAACTTTGAAATTCAAGTACAAAAAAACATCTGAAATAGAAAGCATTGTCTTTTGGCCATGACACAAGTGCACTGTGGCAGTGCCGTTTGCTCAGGACCCCGCACTGCAGCCCTCCTGTGTGTGCCCCTCTCTCAGTTCTTTTGCTGTTGTTACACACACAGGCCTTCCTGTCTGGTCCTTAGAGAAGCCGGGCTTCCAAAGCACTGTTGAACACTGAGGATTCTATTGTTAATGTGGATGTTCCATGAGTTGTATTTTAAATATCAAAGATTATTAAAGATGTTTTCTTTTTTATTTCCGTTGTTATGTGTTTATTGTTAATTCATAGCCTTGCTTTCAGAGTATGGTTGGAGGACCAGCAGCCTCTGCACCACCTGAGAGCTTTTCAGAAATGCAGTTTCAGGGCACACTCCGACCTACTGCATCAGAACCCTCATTTTAACAAGATCCGCAGGGGATTCACATGCAGAGTGAAGTTTGAGAAGCACTGTTTTGTGGACTGAGTGATGAATAAAGCAGGCCACCAGGCCATGGGAGCCCACGGATACTCTGTTCTAGCTAACTGCTACTAAAGGGCCCATTATTGCTGGGTCCCCTGATCTTTCCTAAGGGAAGCTAAGAATTCCAAATTTTTATTTGAAATCTTATTTTTAAATGTTGGCTTAATTGTTTTTTAACCCCGAGAGCCAAACAAAGCACATTAGTAAGAATTTCTGAGTGCTGTTTTTCCTCACTTTATCCAACTCTGGACGCCACACTAACTGTAATAATTGGAATCCACCTGGACTGATGGAGGATTATAAACTCAAGTTTTATAATGAGGGCTGTATATCCATTTTAGCTTTAATTAGGGTTGGGCACAAATTTTGAAACGTAAAAGTTCCAAATTGATTACAAGCATCTTTTAGCATAACTTCATAGCTTAGTACTTACAAGGACCAATTCATTGAATTTGGATGCCACCAAATGGCTCTCATCTCATCAGCACTCACCTGTGGGCCCTATGAAATACAAGTTGACTTGAAGGCCCATTTTATATGTTAGCTAGAAACTATCTTTTATAAAAATTAGGGAATTTGGGGGTTGTCTTTATCCTGAAGATTTGCATGTTTTAGGATCCTTTTAATCGTTTTGTGTCTGCATTACCAAATGCTCGTTCATTTTATAAGTAATTTGGGTCCAGCTGACCTCTTCAGCCTGTACTCTTCACATTTCCCCTTTACACACTGTGGTCCTAGGAAGCCTCCTGACAGCTCTTCAGATAAGCCAGGCTCTTCCCACCTCCAGGCACTCGAACACTCTCCTTGCCCCCTGTCCTCTGTCCGTTTGATATCCCTGCCCCTAAAGTTCATTGGCCATTCCCTGCTACGAGGACTCTTTGGACTACCACCCTTTGCTGTGCCCTGTTCTCTCCCAAGATTGTTCCAGTTCTCCCTGTGTCAGGAACCCCAGCCACCCTTTGTCTCAGGGGCTGCTAGAGAGAAGCAAATCCTAGGTCATTCATTCATTCACTCATTCAACAGAACATTTGAGCACTTACCATGTGCCTGGCATGGTCTGGGTTCTTAGAACAGAGCCATGAAGAAAATACCCTGCTCTCATGGTGCTTGCATTCTGGTTGACCATTAGGCAGAGGGAACATTTAAATTAATGTACATAACTTCATAACGTTAAGAGCTATGCTTGTTTTGTGAGATAGGAAGATGAGGCGGGATGATGTGATAGAGTGTGACTGGAAGGG